ATTCGCGAACTAATATGACTCCTTTGAACCGATTCACTTTAATGAATGGTTAAAACAACTGATCTGTCCAACACTGAACTCAAGAGACATAAATCAGAAACACCTTACAATAAGGTTCCATTTATTAAAGTCTAGTTAACTACATTAAAACATTCTATTAATATTAGTTTCTATGTGGATTTACTCCATGACAAAACCACCCCAGTCATTCTAGAATGATTCATTCTTTCCAAATAGAGCTTTTTGTTTGAAATTGTTTTTATATCGCAATATATATCACAGAAAAATCAAATATCACAATGTCATTTTTTACCAATATCGTGCAGCCCTACTGTAAATTCTGTGGGCCTTCAGGACTGTCCAAATTTGTAACTGCGTCAAAACAATTCAAACACAAATCATTGAAGCTTCACTATGACAGTATGAAGCACGCGAAGTGGATTATATTTATTTTATTTTTCCTTAAGAGTTCAGAAGTCTACCCATCTGTGCCTGCAATAGCATGTTGAAATCCAAAAGAAATTCATTTAGCACTTTATTGTGTAGGCCTACTGTATTTTCTATTGCAGTAAATCTATCCCAACCAATTTTAAAGAAAACAAGAAGGCATTTGGTTTAAAAGATGGCAAGTAAAATAAAAAGCACATCTGTATGCAATACAGTTTCATTATTGGTCATTATTATCCAGAGTAGCTTACTATAAATAATTTGTGCGACCAAATCATGTTTTGCGCTAGTAACTGAAAAAGTAAGTAGCGCAAGTGCCACCAGTGGAAAATGTTAGTGTAGTTCCCTGCAGTCCATACTACAGCGCGAAAATGGCGTTTTCAAATTTATCCGCTTTGGAGAGCGTATTCCAAAAGCTACGTTTTCATTGACCTAAAACCCCGTCTCAGTGGACGGAAGGCCAAACCGGAAAGAAAAATATACGTTTTCAAACGAAAACGTATTAGTGTGGACATGGCCTAAGGCTATAGGCAGGTGAGGCACTTGCCTACCTACCCCTGGCTAAGACATGGCTTCAGAGTTCATATTTCTCTTTTTTTTTCTATCAGTAATTGAATCACAGTTCTGGCTATTTGTGGAGCATTTTCTGTTATGTAGTAACGTATAGTGATTACCGGTACTTGCAAATAAGAAGTCTGCTTTTTTCTTTTATAAATTTTCACATAATATATATAAGAAGCAAAAGTTGAGTGATGAATGCTCACTCACAGAGTCTCTACGTTTTTATTCAACTTTGTATTATGTATTGTATTCAATGATAACGTCCTGAGTAATGACCCCTTTTCATAAAACATGCTATAGCTTAAAATACATGCTGTTCTAGTATTTATAATAGAAGATGGTGGTTGGGGTAAAGGAAACATAAATGGTTAGGATTGGCAAAGTTGTGTTGGCAGTTAAAGCGGTTTCCTTGGAGCTCAACGATCTGATGGCTGTACATGTCATGTACATGTTACTTGTGCGAGCTGTCAGGTTGGCATGAAACCTAAGTGGCAGTTTAGAGCAGAAGAATAGTAGGTCACAAGAAGGGGAAAGCTGTCACGTAACCCATTATGTGGGCCTTTTTGTTGAAGGATCTGGATTCATGGCAAAACAAGGCATCCCACATAACACCTTTTATGAGGTTAGAGACATTATTCAATGGCAGCTGCTCTTATTTTGAAAAGGAACAGGATTTTTCTTCCATATTTTTAACCACAGGTTTGTCATGTAATATTTTTGTGGCCTTTTTGCCACTTCTAACCAATCCAAACCCAAAGATTTGTGAAAATCATAGCTTGCCTTGCACTATCAGAAAGATTTCTTGCTGGAGCATTTTTAAAACTTGAAGCCTTTTTTTGTATTCCGAAAGCATAATTGACCTATCGGTAAGTCCCTCCCCTCGAACGCAGATGAGCCAATGGCAGTTGAGTATCAGTTGCACAAGGACCGGAACTCGGACATCTTTAGGTTTCAGCGCCATAGAGAAACATTGGAAGATCCGAAGCTCTCATCGGTTTGATGGTGTTTATGCTACAAAAATTGTAAAACGATGTGCCTGGGGTACTTTTAACACTGATTCCAGGTATCCTGAGAGGATGGGCATGGGTATTATTCATGTATTGAATCACCGTACTGTGCGCTCCTTCACCAGCGCGTTTCAAAAGTGTGATAAGATTTGCGCGAAAAAAAACAAATATCTGCGCAATACGTCTAAAGACGGTTTATTTATAATATCAATGATGTGGGCGCAGTAACCTGGTTCTCTAAGGATTCAACCCCAATCTCAATGAAGACGAAAACGTTAATTTTCTGGTTGTCATACTCTCATTAAATTACAATTAAAGTTAGTGAGTCCATGCTAATGTACAAACCTAAATAGCTAACTGTTCTCATGTCATGTACAGACTGGTCTACAATTCAGTGCCTCTCCATATTAAACTGATTAAATGTAAATTTATTTAATAAGTACTAGGGATGCACGATGATATCGGGACAACATCGGTATCGGCCGATAAAAGCTTAAAATGACCATCATCGGCATCGGCCGATATGAATATTTCTGCCGATGAGTCTTGCCGATAGGGTGGCGTGTTTCCTATACGCACGTGACGACCGTGAACGAAGCATGAGCACCAGCAACTTAAACTTCCAACTAGGGGTGTGCCGTGCGTCTCACGGTTTTTGATCGTGGACGATTAAAATGTCTCCACTATCTGCTTTTGAAGAAAAATCATAGTATCGTGCATTCTATCAGTTCAATTCTGGCGCCTTCATCTCAACATACTGTACAACGCGACGTACATTCACATCACATCACATCACATCACATGTAAACGCAGAGGTAGAGTTACACTCACGGTCACGGGACACCGCAATTCACAAAATTTCATTGTTTGCATGTGCGTCAAAGTCTTGCTAGGTAAACATATCATTCACGTGCTGATGCGCTGTTCTAACATCCGCTTTTCTGAGCGCGTACACGCGACGCTCACAGGAACTAAAGCCTGTCACAGCGCCTGCATACTGAACTAATCTTTCGAGTCTTATTGCGCTGATACTGTCAACACACAAGGTTTACATAAACAAAGTTGGTTATGTCTAAAGTGAAAGCAAACAGAGAAAATCTGCTTGTCAAATGCGTGTATATTAGACGCGTCGCGTTACTCGCGTGCAGTTCTTAAAGAGACAGTAATAATATTCTGCCGCTTGTCTTTAAAGAGATACTGCACCCAGAAATAAAAATTCTGTCTATCTAATGTTGTTTCAAACCTGGATTCATTTCTTTCTTGTGCTTAAATATACTATGGAAGTCACTGGAGTCCAGCAACTGTTTGGTTAGCCACATTCTTCCAAATAACTTTTATAATTTCAACAGAAGAAAGAAACTTGAGAGAGTAAATTATGACAATTTAAATTTGTGGGAGAACATCCCGTTAATGTTAATAAAACAACAAAACACAGAGGAAATCACTCACTGCTCTTGACTGAGAACATTAATAGAAGCTTTAATAAGCTTTTTTTGCACTTAAAAAAAAAATACAAATATATCGGTATCGGCATCGGGCAAAATTAGTTTGAAAATATCGGCATATCGAATATCGGCCAAAATCCTATATCGTGCATCCCTAATAAGTACCCATTACAATCTTGCGGTACATTAACAGTGTTGATCCTGGATGTTGTTTTTCTGTGATCGTGACGACCGTAACGTGAGGCTTCTCCCGGTTGCATTGTGATCTGTAAACCCTCGATTCCAAATTAATCTTGTTTCCCACCATATTATTTTTAAATCTTTTATACCGTATTTTCCGGACTATAAGTCGCTCCGGAGTATAAGTCGCATCAGCCCTTAAATGCGTCATGACGAGGAAAAAAACATATATAAGTCGCACTGGACTATAAGTCGCATTTATTTAGAAATTTATTTAACAAAATCCAAGACCAAGAAAAAGTTATTTAAACAGACTTTAATTCATTAAAACAGAAGGCATTTAAGTTATTCACCTACACACAATAGCACAAAGAACAACAGGCTGAATATGTGTCCGGTATGTAGTTAACGTAACACAGTATATTCATCTCCTTAGCAACTACCAGGGCGTGGAGATGCAACTGCACCGTTGACAAGCCTCTCCCGGCAGCGCGTTGTTCAAGCACCCATCTGTGGACTCGTTCCTCCAGCTCTGGCCATCTTGCTTTCAGCCCGCGATTAGCTTTCTTTGTTTTCTTCATTTCAGTTAGAGTAACCTCTGCTTTTCGCCAGTCCCTCACAAGTTTCTCATTCACTCCAAACTTTCTTTCTGCTGCTCGATTACCGTTTTCAGCTGCATATTTTATTACCTGCAGTATGCAATCTGCAGAATATGATTTTCTTTTTGGGGGCATTTTGTTTGCGTTCAGTCTAATATTTCAGTTAATATCAGTTGTTTTCAGTTAATTTTTTCAGCGGTAAAACTAGCTGTAGTCTAGATCGCATAGAGCGCTCTCTCGTGGCTGTAGACGGTAATGTCACCCCCAATTTCGGCAAATGATGCATTCACGTCATACCACAAATACATCAAAAACTCGCAAATAATAATCTGGGGCCGTCAGCGATCCTGTGACGAGTAAATCTTGGTAATTTTGATATATAAGTCGCACCTGACTATAAGTCGCAGGACCAGCCAAGGTATGAAAAAAAGTGCGACTTATAGTCCGGAAAATACGGTATATCCCTACATGGCATATTTAAGTCCCACTTGAATGCTCCTCGATGAGAGGTGGTCCTTCTGTGTCCAAAATTGATCAAAAACATCTTGGGACAAGGTTTTCACACTGACAGCTGTCATTGTAAGACAGTTAGCAACTCCTTTTGTTAGTCCGAGTTAGCAACAGTAACTAAGGGGGGCTGGCTTACCGATAGGTCAAATATGAAACCAAATTGCTGCATTTGTCCTCATTCCTCCACTTACTAAAAATGAGCCCATTTTTTTCCCCTATTTGTGCCCTGCTCTGCCACTTCGTTCCCAAAGATTAAAGGGTGGAGGGGGAGAAAGCCGAGCTGGCAGACCCCTGAAGGAGGAGGACTGTCCACCACCTGTAACAAAGAGGAGGAGGACAGCAGACTGAGCAGAAGCTTAAAAACTTTGAACATAGTGGTATGTGGCAAATAACGGCATGGTTCCAAGCACAATGTTATGCCCCAATATCTAACCCTGTTCAAGGCTTTGAAGATGAGTGAAATGTCATAGTGTATATGCATGATATGCTGTGTAATAGGCCATGTGTCAGGTCCCATTTTTTTTAGGACATTTTCAACCATCTGTGGTTTTTGTTGTTCAAAAAGGGTAGTAACTGTCTTTATTTGATCATTCGTCTTCTATTCCGAGGGTTTTTTCTTCTTGTCCTGCCATTTGTTTCAGAAAACGGTTGTCTAAACCAGTTTTTCTCCTTTAGCAGAGCAGATCCTATTTTATCCTTGAATATAGAAGCAGCTCTTCAGGGTTGCAGCAGTGGATTTTTTCCAGCTCCTGTGAACTATCAAAGGCTCTTGTCTACAGTTTCATTGATCACTTTTGCCAAGATGCTCTGTTCTCTAGTTTCAAGGAAGAAAATGATGTCTAACCTCTAAACTCTGCTTAAGTTTGATGTCCATGTCAGAAGTAGAGCTCCTGAAAGCCCTCAGAGCTGTGTCTGGCCTGCAGATCGTTAGATGGAGTGTGGATTCATGTTATTTCTCCTCTTTTCGCAGAGGTGTGAGCTGTGTCCCCACAAAGACGGAGCGCTGAAACGAACAGATAATGGAGGTAGGACATCTAACTTTATGCTGATTGTTTTTACTTGCTGAGGAAAAAACAGTATTAAGCCTAATCTACATGTCATTGGCAAGAACAGACTGCAGTTACTCAGTAGCTAAATATAGGCCAGTAGCATAAAATATGTTTTTGATGGTTGAGTGTGTAAGAGACAAAATATTTGATAAAATCTTTGGGTTAGCAGTTTTACTATTATCTCTCAGCCCAGTTTTATTGCGAGGTGATACAATTATGTGAAGCTCTTGAGAGGAACATATGCGCTGATGAGGATGACACCTTTCTATTTTGTCGCCTCTAATGAAAGTCAATGTAAAAAAAAAATATAGTGAATTGATTATCTCTTCTATGGAGTATTTCACTGATATCCTCTGACAGTTTTAATTATCACAGAAATTCTACTGTCTAAAGGATATAATACTGTGTCTCATAAATAAGCTGTTAATTAGTTCTATGCATCTTCATATGTCTCACCTCAAAATAATCTAATTTGGATTTCAGATTTCAGGAAAATTTTACAATGAATAATTTTTTTTAACCATTTCTTCTTTTAACATCTAAACTGCTTTTGAATGAACCAAGAGTTTGACGTAGTCTTGGAATTTTTTTGGCACATGGGGCAGATTTTATCTGCTTATTTTTCAGAATAATTGAGCAAAGGGGGTTAGGAAGTGTGCGTGTTTGTCTCTCACCTTGTTTTTATGGGTGGGCGGTCTCAGCGGGGTCATTGTGGGGCTGAGAGGGGGCGACTCTTCTTCATGCTCCGGGTTCACGGCAAGGGCAGTTCAGAGACTGTAAACATGGCATGGTACACAGCTGCAGGACCATGCCCCATCTTTAGGGGTGGTGAGCTGTTTAACGGCCATGAGGGAAACATCATTGCCCCAGGCTTATGGTTTAGCTGTTTCAGACCATGTAATCTCTTTTTTTGGCTTGGATTTGTAAAGCCTTTTGAAATGTTTCGAGATAAGCATTCCATGTTTTGTCATTATTTACGAGTAGGAGTGAAGAATTCTTAAACATAAATTTTAGACAGAGCTTGTTTGAACCATATCTCACAAGTGAGATTTAAGTGTTCACGATTTGCTTTAGAGAAACCTTTACATTTCAGCCAACTGAGAAGTAAAACTCAGCTGCAAAGTCCTCCTCGTTCCCCAGACCAGCTCATGGAGAGGTTTTTACAGGTGTTGCTACTGCTGAGTTATGCAAACACAAGAATAATCCCAAAGGAAAACACTGGAGCAGTGGCATATACCTGCCGCAATAGCATGTTGAAACGCATGCAGAGAAATAAAAACCCATCCCTTGTTCATAGAACATTGCTAGAGCCTTTCAGTTTTTACTGTTGCTTTAGTCCCCAAGATTTCACTTGTTTAACGAGAATCTGAAGAAACAAGATTGTTTGAGGACTTTATGCTCAGCTAAAGACATCTTTGGCAAATCATTCTCTTTTTAAGTGTGCCACCCTTCTGTTTGAGGGGTTTAGAAGTTCTTTGGGGTGTGCTTGGGTTTTATTGCCTGGTTTTATAGGCTTCTGCTGGATTCTTGGAGGGACTTCAAAACAACAAAACCCACCTCCCTGTCCCTTTAGGCTGGGGTCAAAGACAGTTCATGGGTTCACCTTTAAGTTTAGGCCTGTTATTGTGCCCTTGCGCTGGATAACCAGAACTCATTTGCTCAGGTTAATTTCAACGATATCAATAGCATCTGCTTTCCTTTCACAAACATATTGCAGAATATGGTCATTAAATCTAAATCAACTCCGTTTAGGGGTTTTGTGGTTGAGACAGTTGATGTGGGGAAAAAGTTAAGTAGTAGTCTGAAATTATGATACAATATTTATGTAGTGTACTTGTGGCTGACACCCTATGGTTCAACACTTGGTCTAGACGCTAGGCAGGAGAGAATATGCCTCTGCCTCTTCCAGTCCTGGGTGTTTCGTCTTTGCGGTCACACTCAGCCCAGATGCTTTAATAAGTGTTTTTCACACTGTGGAGGAAGCCAGGCGTGCCCTGTAGGCAATGGCTGTAAGCAAACAAATGAACGTGGGCTCTTTAAAAAAAATAAAAAAAATAAATGACAGAAAATGATTGTGACAGTCAGCAGACACACATATTCAATTTAAATGTTTCTTTTATTGCATTATCCATGTTTTTAAGCATCATATTTGTATTATAATTAATTAATGAGAAATTTAAATGTTATGCAATTGATTTATAATAAAAATGAGTGGATTGTATTTTAGTGATTTGTAAAAAACAACAAAAAAGCTTATTTATTTTTGCCATTTGATGGTATTTTCAAGCACACTTTTTTTATGCAGCTAAACCCAGTTGCAACTTCAAAGCTAGTTCCCATAAAAATAAAGGAATAATTTAATCTTAGCCGTTTAATATAACATCTACTGATCATATATCATGTGTCTTGTTTAGGTTGGGCCCATGTGGTTTGTGCTCTTTACATCCCAGAAGTTGAGTTCGCTAATGTATCCACCATGGAGCCTATTGTGCTTCAGTCTGTCCCCCATGAACGTTATAACAAGGTAAGTTCCCTAACCTCTGAAAGACAAACGCTTTATAGTCTGGATATCAATTGAAAAGCAAAGGCTCAACATAAGAGCCTCATAAATCAGCTCAACAATGTAAACAGTATGCATGTAAGGAGTTTAGGTCTATACTGTGAATGTGTTTTCTTAAGGGACCAAGTGCTACATTTATCAATCTTGTATAAACATAGAATGTTGCTATTAATTATGCTACAAAGCTGAATGAATGAAAACTGAGATTCATGTTATGGGAATTTACACATACAGTCTAAAAATTAAAAGAACCAACCATACTTATTTGCCATTGAATTTCCTAATCCATTATGGAAAATAAAAAAGTTTAAAAAAAATAATTTTATATATTAAAATATTTAATAGGCTACAAATGTATTTTATAATCCGTATACAGTAAACTGACTTGAAAATGACTGAAATGAAATGAAATGGTTTGTATAACTGATGGGTTCTGGGATACTCGCAGGTGTATGTGTTTACTATTGTGCATCACTGTAATTCAAGAGTAATTGTAATTTCCAAAGTCCAAATGTTTAGACGTTAGCTTAACTTTATGCTCAACCGCGAGGGTAAAAAAACAAAACAATGTTAGATCAAGTACTTATGGGATATGCCATGACACCGTTCTTTCATTTTTCATTTGAAAACCTAATTACGTTTTGTTTTCTATGGATGCCCTTCAATGCAGTAGATAAGTAAAATACAATCAGTTAGTGTTATATGATTTGGATTCAATACTGTGTCTGATGATTCGCAGGACTAAGGAGCCAAGTTTAATCTCATGCTTGAAATAGTGGGTTTAAAATCTGGGATAAAATAGATTCAGCTCTGTTGGTAATTGAGTCCTCACTGTGAGCCAATTTAAAATGGCATGGTTATCACTTGCCTAATAATCGAGGCGCTGGGAAGGGCGGCTTCTGAGAGACTTGTTAAATTGGTAGAGCCTTCACGCTAAACAAGCTGTGGGCCGTGCAGCAATGCATTATATACCATAATAACTGCTTTCTGTATGTGAGAAATCACTTTGGTGACTGTTTTTTCTTTCTAGACGTGCTACATCTGTGAAGAACAGGGCCGTGAGAGCAAAGCTGCTTCTGGAGCCTGCATGACATGCAACAAACATGGCTGCCGACAGGCCTTTCATGTCACATGGTGAGTTGCAGAGCCCTAATATTCCAGCTAATTGTCCTCATAAGCATCTTAATATCCTCAATTATGTAATCTGTTAAATGGATCGGAATAGCAATGTTAACTACTAACTTCCCTTTAATCGAATTAAATCTTTTTACTTTTATAACAAATAGTTGAATTATAACTGTTTTCATCTGCATTGTGCACAGTCTTTTTAAAGCTGCTTTTTCTTTGTCTTTGAATGTAGCGCTCAGCTTGCTGGGTTGTTGTGTGAAGAACAGGGCTCAGATGCTGATAATGTGAAATACTGTGGATACTGCAAGTATCATTACAGCAAGCTGGTAAGAATCTGCTTTTTCTAAACCATACTATACTAACTATAACACCCTGACTCAAAGCACCGTTGCTACTGATTCCAAAGCATTCATGCATTTAAAGTAGGGGTGGGAATCTTTGGTCACCTCACGATCCGATCCGATTCCGATTCTGGGAGTCACGATCCGATTCCAGAACGATTCTTTATCCCCCCCCCCCTCCCTTATTAATTCATTAGTTTACATAAGTAATTAAGTACTTTTTAAAAAATAATTACAAATTAATATTTTTTTATTAAAACAGTTGTATGTTAAGAAATTTAAACTAATATAACAAATAATAAACAAAAAGAGCTTTCAGTAGCCTATAGATTATCTGAACGTTTTCCATTCAAGAACTGTGAGTCATTTTTCTTCATCTTTACTGTTGTTTTTTACTATGACATCATAGACTGCGGGAGATCTATTAAGCTGTATTCACTCACGCATCTCTTTTGAAATAAAAGAAGTAATGCGGTGTGTCCTGTCCGTTTAATCCCTTAAGACATAACTGGCTGTGTTTACGTTAATTTTGCACAAGTACATTAAACCACTACACGGAGTCGCACAGCCGCATGCGCGGCAGCGCGAGCAGTCTCACAAACAAAGCGCGCGTCAGCATTTGAAATTGAAAGCAGCCTTCTGTTAGTGAGGTTCATATTTTAAATATATAAGTCCACTGCATTCCAAACCACATAAATGATGACTTCGTAGAGCATTTGTAAGGAAAATACCGACGGGCGAGACAGCACTTCAAGTGTAACGTCAAAGAAAGCGCGCGTCTCTCACAGCGTGTGCAATGAAGCCTGTGAATGTCCTTGTAATTCGCTTCAACCTTTCCGAACTTTATGAAAGATTATTTTACGGAAGGTTCGAGTGGTGTATGTGTGTGAGGAATTGGAATCAAGCAGAATACGTGTGTTTCTAAACCAAACTAAACGTCATCGCACATCTGGTTAAAAACTATAAGCTCAGAATCGATTCTGGAATTCTCAGAATCGATTCAGAATCGTTGGAGAGAGAATCGCGATGCATCGATGGATCGATTTTTTCTCCCACCCCTAATTTAAAGGTTGTATCAGTGATTTCAGGCCCAAAAAAAGCCCAAACATAAATGATCACATTCATGTAATCTTTCCTAACAATCTGCTAGCTGCTCGCCCCATAAGCAAAAAATGCGTCTCTGTAGGCAGCCTAGGCTCTGAGATCTGCACACATAAACAATTGGTTTCACCAACCACTCAAAACCAAAATAAAGTGTTCCAACCAATCACCGTCATGGGTTCGTTGATAGACGCTGGCTTCTTCTTCAGCTCCGACTTCCCGTGTAGCCGTGCACGAGCGCAAAACCTCACAACACCCACCCCCTGTCGGTGATTGGATGGAACACTATTTATTTTGGTTTTGAGTGGTTGGTGAAACCAATTGTTTTTGTGTGCAGATCTCAGAGCCTAGGCTGCCTACAGAGACGCGTTATTTTGACGGCCTGCTTATGGGGCGGGCAGCTAGCGGATCGTTAGGAAAGATAAGATGAATGTGATCATTTATGTTTGGCCCTTTTTTGGGCCTGAAATTGCTGATACAACCTTTAATCACTGACATTACAGAAATTCTGTCATTTTGAATTAAACCATTAATGACGTTTAGGCCGGTGACACTGGCTGCGTGGCGTTTCTGTTGCATGTCAGCTGCGTGGCGGCTGCGTCGCGTTTTCTGTGTCTTTGCACACCAGAAACGTGTCTGACGCGGCGCAGCTGCTGCTAGGTGACGTACAGGAAGGACGTATTGTGGAAGCCCTATACTTCATGTTAAGCATAAATATAAAGCCTACTGATAAAGACACTGTCAGCAGTATTGACAGCAAAATAGACTACAGAATATTTCGTTCTGTATTGACAGGTGCAATATTTGAAAATTGATCATTATTTATTTTTAAATTATATTTATATCTGAATTTATGTCAAAACCTAGACTTTCAACCATCAAAATGTAATTTATTAATATGTATTTGTGTACAAAATAACATATAAACATCTTTTCCTATTCTATTTTGCCTGGAAACGCTTGCAACACGCTTGCAACACGCTTGCGTGTAGCGTGAAAAATAGGCGTCGGTTCTATTTCTAGCATGCACGCGTTTTCCGCGTCTGAGACGCGCGTGCGTGTCACGCAGGCAGTCTGCAAGCTCTAACCTGTTAACATGGGAGCCGAAATAAAAACGGACACGCCACGCAGCTGAGACGCTTACGATGACGCAGGTAGTGTGTCACCGGCCTTAGGCTGAGTATAAATAGTTGCAGTACTGAAAATGTGTAATATCTTTACGTTGTGCATATACAAATAGATACGCTTCCGTTCAAAAGTTTAGGGTTAGTAAGATTTTATTTTTAGGGAAAGAAATTCATCATTTTATTCAGCAAGGATGCATTAAATGGATCAAAAGTGACCGTAAATACAATTAATGCTACATTTAAAAGATTTCTATTTCAAATAAATGCTGATCTGTTGGTACTTTTTTTTTTTTCTTCAAAGAATCCTGAAACAATATTACAGTTTCCACATAATAAGCAGCACAACAGTTTTCAACTGTTATAATAATAAGAAATGTTTCTTGATCAACATATTAGAATGATTTCTGAAGGATCATGTCACACATGTGACTGGAGTAACGACTGCTGACAATTCAGCTTTGCATCACAGGAATAAATTACATTTTAAAATATATTAAAACGGTTCTATAAATTTGTGACAATATTTCAAAATATTACTGTTTTTACTGTATTTTTGATCAAATAAATGTAGCCTTGGTGAGCATAAGAGAAAAACCTTAGGGTGCTTTTACACTTGGTTCGATTGCCTGGTCCGAACCAGAGTTCGATTGCTTCCCCCTCGTCCCCCTGCCCTCGCTGGATTGTTCACGTTCTATTATTTGGGTCGAACCGTGGTGTGTTTGCGTCATCAAAGCAGTTTACCCCTGTTGGATGGTAACGACGATGCAGTGAAGGTGGCAAAATAAATAGTGTTGCTCGCCTCACTTCTATATTTTGGTTTTTGAACCTTTGGTTTTGTTTTACAAGTATCAGTAATGACACTTCCGTCTATCTGCCGCGAATGTACTGCAAATGTTCTAAAGAACGCGGGAGTCCATTTGTGCTGAATCCGGGCAAAAATTTGATATGTACATTCTCGCTGCTTGAAGTGCATCAGTCATGCTTGTCAGGAAAGTGAGTGAGCACACACAAACACAGTTTTATCAAATCTTACATCATTAATAGCGGTTCACTTCCACGATTTAGTATGATTACGTTCATATCAGCAGCGAGAACCATACCGCAGTTCACATGAACCGTACTCCAGAACGCTCTGGCTCAGTTTGCGGGTGCTCACCTGAGTTCGGAAAAGAGAGTTCACATCATCCAAACGAACCAAACTCTGATGTCATTCGAACCCGGGTGCGCACCAAAAGTGCTTGTGTGTAAGCACCCTTACAGACGTCAGACCTTTGAACGCGAGTGTATATGGTTTTCCCATAAATTATATGTATTTTCTTGTCAATTAGTATTTGATGGTCATGGTTTGTGTATTTTGCCATTAGTGCTTCATCTATTGAGGTATACTTCATGTCTCTAGGGCATTTCTAAAGCACTTAAGTGACTGATTTTTGCATTCACCAATACATGAATCATGTTGAGCACATCATTGTGACCATGTCATCATTGTTCAAGCTGTTATTGCGCATCTAGAATCGCACGTGAACTCGCCAGGCTCACGAAAAAGACACTCCCTCATCTGGAATATCTCTCATTTCTCGAATGTCTGGCACTCCTGGTCCAATTACAGCTGCTGAAAGCTGAGCTGTGGCATAAGCCCCCCGTCCACCCCCAGTGTCCCCTGCCACCCCCACCTCGATCTCCCTCAAACCCTTTAACCCCTTAATCTCATTGACAATCAACAGCAACTCACTGGACCTTTGTCTGTGGTTCTCCTTTCCTCTCCTTCCCATCATCCCCCCTCTTTCCTGCATTTCCCCCTTCACTCTGTCTTAATACCCCTCTCAGAAAAAGCGGGCTAAGGTTTCAGAGAGATACAGGGAGTGCCCAGTGGCAGCTCTCGGTGACAGCATAACGGCCTGTGGTTTTCCGTCCAGCTTTGCTCGGTCCTTAGTGGGCTTGGGTGTTTGTGTGTGTGTGTGTGTGGCAAGGGGTTTTACTCACTCCAGCCCTGGAGCTACACTGAGCTTTAGAGCCACAGCCCCCTGCTGCTTCTCAGATTCGTGCTGTGTGTGTGTCTATCCTCCCACTCAACAAAGGCTTCTCAGATACTGCTAGTCCTCTACAGGTTTTCTGAGTGAGGGGCTGGAGGCAGGGCCAGCGCTTTGTGATGTTCTCATAGGGGATTGTAATGAGTTGAGGATTGAGGGATAGTGATGTTTATTTATGTATACACCATTTTATTTCATTCAGCACTTTTGACTACTCTGGTTACTGGGGAATAGACTCTAGGGGCATAGTATTTCATGTTTTGTTTTTCAGATTGGTTAGTGTTGTCAATTTTATGCATTCATTCATATTTTACGTTTTTTTTTTTTTTTCATGGTTTCTGTTCGGCTTTTTGGCATCAGTGGTTTTTAAATATATATTTATATAACAAAACATTTTAAATACATAAATATACTCTACCATTCAAAACTTTGGGGTCAGTAAGATTTTTTTTTTTAAAGTTTATACTTACATTCAACAAGGATGTGTTAAATATATTAATTATTAAATATATATAAATATATAAAAAAATATATTTATATATTCTCCTTTTGAATTTCTATTCATCAAATAATTATGAAAAAAAGTATTATTATTATTTTGTTTTTCCACAAAAACATTAAGCATATTATCAACATTTATAATAAAAAGAAATGTTTCTTGAGCACCAAATCAGCATATTAGAATGATTGATTGATTGAAGACTGGATTAATGGATGCTGAATGTAACACTGCCATCACAGAAATAAATTACATTTTGAAATATATTAAATAGAAAATGGTTATTTAAATTATATTTTACAGTATTACTTTTGCTGTATTTATCAAATAAATGACTTTTCAAAAACATTTTAAAAAATCTTACTGACCCCGAACTTTTGAATGGTTTGTATATATTTATATAAATATATATTTGACATTTTTAAATGTATATAAACATTTTTTTGTCTCCCATTTTGTTAGAATAAAGTGACAATACCTTGCTTGTTTTGTTTGTTGTCATCTATTGTGGTGATTGCTCTATTGTACAGGACAGCATGATGTTTCTGCAGGATGTACCATGTCTCCCTGTCACCATGTTAATGGACTGACAGCATCAGCACAGTCTCGTGGATTAATAGTTCAATAGTGGGCTACTAACCCCTGACTTTTCCATGTAGGCCTTTGTTTCAGTGGGCTGCTGGTAAACAAAGACCATTTTGTGACCTGAGGTTTTTTGTGGCATTTGTTGTCAATAGCAGCTTTAGAGACTGTTGACTTAAAAAGAAATGTGGCACATTTTACAAAGGTGTTTTTTTGTCAGTTTGGATGTCATGCATCATGGCACGTTTTTTTTTTTTTTTTTTTTTTCGTAAATATAAAATCAGCTGTTTCTGTTGGTAAATGGAGAATATTGTTGTTTGTAGTTGTATAGAGAAATCAAATATAAGTGACAATATGTATTCTTTGGCTTTCCTGAACTACATTTCCATAAGTAAAATAGCCTTGGATGCTGGCATGGCATTAAAATAAATAAATAACTAGGTTAACTTGATTAGCTAATGGAAGTTACATTTGATATGATAAAATTCAATGGTTATTCCATCAAAAGCAACTTGCATTAGCTGATCAAGTCAACCTATGGAAATGTTTGTTTGTTTATTTATTTTAATGCCATGCCAGCATTTATACCAATCAGGATTTATATATATATATATATATATATATATATATATAAAAAACCTGATTGGTTGTCATGACAATGTTTTTTTTTCTTCATCTTATTTTTTCCGCAAATGTCTCCTATTTGCTTCCTTTGTCTCAAAACGGGCTATTTTCTTTGCTGCTAGAAGAGAGAGAAGTGAGAAGTAGGAAAAAAGGGTAATTGGACAGACTTTAAATGTAACTCGAAGTTCCTTTTTCACCTTTTAGAGAAGGAGCAAAGGCCGTGGTAGTAGGGCTCAAAGCTTAAGTGATTCTTCCACTCACTCTTTGGATAAGCACCATGACAAGGAGAAGAAGGTAAGGCAGCCTCCAGATCTACCTCACTTCCTGCCATGTGTGATTGATGCCCCCCTCCTCACGACTTCAGACTATGAGGTTAACGAACAAAACCAAAAACTCTTTGTTTGTCCGAAATATGCGAATTACACGAGCCACTGTCACCCTGTGCCGACCCTCACATGCACACTTTTTATATCCCACAAAGCTTTTAAAGCCACAGGAGGGAGAAGAGTGCCTTTTATCACTCAAAGTGATTAGTATTTTGATGCTGCCACAAATTATCAACATAAAGAGTGCTGTATGCATAAAAAAGCATCCGTCATGGCCATTAGTTCCACAGAGTCTGTTTAATCAGTATTGATAGGTAGTGTAGTCATTTGTTCCACTAATTTACTATACGCAGCCATACCGAATGAAACGTAGCATTATTAGCCCTGCTCGCCTTTTCATTTAATTCAATTAAGCGTAGGCCCTGCAACATGGCCTCATATCAGTAAATGTGTACGTAATGGCAGAAGACGATCCGTAGTGCATGTAAAAAAACATGTTTGATTGTGCCTCTTGTCTGTATTTTTCTCTTTTTACTGTAATAATGGTGGTATCTGAAATACTAATCCAGCAGACCTCATAGTGTGAAATGTGTGGAGGAGCTCATCACATCTATCCATCGTCATTTATAATTTTCTGCCTGTCCCTAAGCAGCTCCCACCGGCCACATATTTCAAACACTCAGCAGCCTCTGTACAGCCATCTTAATCAGCGATAGCTTGCCTGAATTGTTCTATTTGAACCGGATCAGTAAAATGGCTCTCAGTGTTGATTTAACATTTATTCAAACGTTTCATTGTGTTGTTCAGTTTTTGAAGTTTGTTGGAAGGATTTACATTTAATTATTATATGTTTAATTGTCTGTCCTGAACCTTTTTTTCTAAATCTTTTTTTTTTTTTTGTCATTTAATAATTCTGCTTAATAGTTGTTTTTCAAGCAGTGATATTTTTTTGACATAAAAAATAAAAACGTAACAATTGTGGACTTTTGCTATTCTGCAAGCTTACCAGCCTACATATAAAGTCACGGTTTAATTGTAAAGTGTGCAACCACACATGCATTTATTTTTTATTTATTTTTATTTTACTATTATCTTTTAAAACAAATTCATTATTTTGATAAATATAAATCATTTTAAAGTAATGTGAAGAAAGTATTAGACTGCATTTGAGAAACTGTTACATTTATGTGCTTAAATGTAAATCTGAATACTCACGATAGTCAGATGAGCACTTACAGCGGGCAGTGCAGGTCATTGAGGCTGTTGGTTATTTGACACAAATTCATTAAATTATTTGAATTTGTTTGAATGCGTTTACATTGGAAATGCATACCAAAATGGAGTGGATGGTGCTCTTTTTAGCTGCTCAAAGACCGACACTGCAGCCTGTATAATCTAGGTCAGCGAAAGATTAAATATGAGATGCCATTTAAAACCGTTTCTCCCAGAATTATTCTGATATTTAACATCTTCGCCTTATTCTGCATTGAGAGGGGTTGACATTAACAATGATTCGGGTTGGAGTTGTATTCTTGAAGATCGTGTTGTAAAGTGCTCTGTGCTCCGCCATGGCTATTGTTACGACGCCTGATTTGCATTAGCAAAGGGGGCCCATCCCCCCTACTCCACATTCCCAGGTCAAAGGTCGGGGGGGCTCAGATGTATACCTAGCTAATTCCAAACCCCAGGGCCAAACAACAATAGAGGCTAAAAGCTTCTCAATTTGCAGCTAGTTCAGATGTGCTCTGAGAGGCCGTCGAGAGCGGCATCTGGGAATAAAATGATGTTTTCGATCTCTCTTCCTTCTCCTGCCTCACATATCTTAAATTCTAATCTGTTTTGGATTTTAGCTTTGTTTTCTGGATGATTAGTTTTTGCTTTTGTATTTAAACTTTTTTTTTTCTTTTTTAAGATTTATTATATTTATTCATTTCCGTAGTTGAATTTTAATACTTAGCCTGAAGCCTGGGGAGTAATTTCTTTGTTCATCCTGAAAGAGATTTGCTACATTTCACTAATCTGCTGAAGGCATTGATGAATTATGATAAATGCCTTGGCATTTTTGTTCTCTCTTTTTTCAGTCACCTCTGCCTGAACTATTCATCTTTGTATAATTAAGATAGCTGTCGTCTTATGTCAAACTCTTTCAAGACGTTTATGTCAGAATTTTAATTAGACCAGTAAACAGCAGTTCATACCTGCATTTTGTCATTACATAAGGGTCTAAATATCTAGTTGGTTTCAGTTTATTTATTTGATGGAATTAAGATTAATGTTGTGCATTTTTCTTTTTTCCATTCATAATCAGAGCCAAGTAGTGACATGATTTTTTTTTTTCTCATACTAACACTGCCTTGTCAACACCTTTAGAAACAATGTTAATTAAGACTAAGAGTCTTGTCTTTGAATCCTTTCGAAATTAGCTCTTTTCTTGTAGAGCAAATGCGGCATAACAAAGCTTTGTAATTTCAGTAAATGCCGTTATATTTATAATTATTTTGTCACTATAAATAAACTTGTCATTTTGGTTTTGTGGTTAAAATTATGTGATTTGAAGCATAAGCAAAAAATATTTAAACAAAACAAAAACAGTGACATTTGTTTTGGATATGTAGGTTGTAGATGAAAACCAATAGCAATGCATATTCAATACAAATACAAATACAATCTTTCCCAACCACTTAAAAAAAATTCCCAAGGTACTTATTCAACACCTTCATTTCCAATGTGTATGATCTTTCTGTTCTAAGAAAATGGCATTTAAAATGGTATATGCAGGAAAATGGTAAATGGCGTAGAAGAAGCAGAAGCTCATTTTCATTTTCATTGAAAAACTTGAGCCTGAGGGCCACTGGAATTGTCCCCGTCACTTGCACAGAGAAGTAGCATAAACTGTTATGTTCAGAATAATTGTCGATTCTAACTGAGACAATGGCTGGAAGATGACAGAAAGGGGCGGAAAAAAAAGATAGACGTTTGTATATCGCTCCAGTGGGGAATGTGTAAATATTCTCTACGAATGGTTCAGGATCACTGCATATTTTTACAGCCATGCTCTTAAGAACAGAAACGGAGAGGTTGGAGGTGTTCGATTGGAGTGCGAGGTGTAAATTTGTTCACGCTCCCGTTTCTCGGGCGCAAATAGAGCTGTGTACAGCGGCACTAGACTGGGGTGTAAATTAAGCTGCAGTAGACTCTGGTCAGGCCTGCAATGTGAATCCTTTCCCATCCAGAGGAATACCTTTTGTTTTTCTTTACAGGAAGATCTTCATGGGCAGCACAAGGGGCTCTCCTTGCCCAGATTGAATGCATGCAAACAGAATGGGACTTGCATTGTTTCACCTTTTTGCATTTCCCATCTTTCTGTCTCTTTGTTTTCAGAAATGACAGTGTAGGCTACAGTCCTTACCAAGTTGTACTGGCTTCAGTCAAAACCTTTGCTGTACCATCTTCATTAAGTTTTTTGTTGTTGTTGTTTCATCACAGAAACATAAAGAAAGAGATCGCCACAAACCAAAGCACAAAAAGTCTTTGGAAATGACGCCTTCCCTGGTGCCAGCACTGATGGTGTCCTCTGAGAAGGTGAGTCCACCTGTCTGTTAGTCTAGGATATATGCCTGAGAGTTTATCAAATGTCAACAAATAAGTGCATTCTAAGCCTTTTTGCCCATGCGTGCATTCCCTTCTTGGCCACAGAGCTACAACAGCAGCAGTGGCGGAAGTGTCTCCTCCATCTCCTCCACTCAGAAGCGACTTGATGACAGTGGAGGCCGTTTCACCAATGCCAACTTCCAGGAAGTTCCATCTCTCTCCAGTTCCAGCTCCAAGGATGGCGGCTCCTCGGATGGTAAGAGCTCGGACGGCAAAAGCAAGAAGTCCAGCAGTCACGGCACCAGCTCAAGCTCGGCGTCCAGGGGCCGCAAGTCCGTGCCGAGCAAAACCCACGGTCCTGTGGTCACCACGGCGACTTCATCCACGGCCCCCTCCTCGACCAGTCCTTTTCAGCAAGGTGAGACTTTCAAACATGCCAACTTCACTTTTACTTCAGATTGTTGATGAGGTGAATTGGTAAACACCCTCTGCATGTTCCTGAATTGAACGGCCAGATTCAAGTCTCGTGCCAACTTCCTGTGCGTGACATTTTGAGTGAGTCTGTTGTGACAGAGCTGGATGGAAGCCAGAAGCCGTAAGCTTGGCATGTGTGTGCGATAAGGCTGTCGTCTGGCTGGCTGCCGCTGTAATGTGGTGCGGCGAGTCTTTCTGAACTGGCAGTGCTGTGGGTGGCGTCTGTGTGTGTGTGTGTTTATGCGTGTTATGAGGGAGGTTTGGGAGTCAGAGGAGAAGCATGTTCCCTTCCTTTCTGCTATCATGCCGTGATGGAGGGATTGAAGCAGAGGTCACGTCTGGAAAATTCAGACTAATCATTAATGTGTCAAAGTGCTGCAGGGGCCTCCTTGCTGGAGTTACGCGCAAACTTCAAGGAACCTGGAAGAAGAAACAATGCAGTGTTTTCTCAGCAGAGCGCAATGAGATCAAAAGATGTTGGAGATTAACTATAGAGTCTAATCTTCTGGCTGAGAGTGTCATATTCTCTGGGCTGTTGTGACAACACCTGACACAGACCCAGCCCACACAACTGTCCTGTTCAGCCACCCTGATGTAATATCCCAAGTATATGAGAGATTACAATATCAGCAATCTTTTATTAAATTGAGTCCTTTGTGTTTGACAATAACAGAGAGCTGTAGTAAAATGTAAAGTTTTGTATATTGCCGCTTATGTGAATCTTGTTGTTGTTGTTGATATAAGAACGGCAGATAAAAAGTAATATTCTTTTAGGTAGGATTTAAGATTTTAAGTTAAGTTGGCTCTCTTTTCAGACAGATTTTGCTCATCTTCAGGCAGTAAATGGATAGCGGTGCTTAATCAAGGATCCGGCGATAAGATACAGCAAAATTCCTGAATGTGTTTTTGGAACAATTACAAAATGTAGCTAGTTATCTATTTGTCATGGCAGATTTTTTTGTGATATTACTTCATCTATCTGTGTGTGTTTAAATGTTTGGGGGATAGACTGCACAGTAAAATTGGGAAGTAAAGTCTCTGCAGCCTCTTGCCACAGCTGTGAAAACATACACGTCAGAGTTGTTTCTCTGGCTTTGGTTAAAGGACGAGTGCTTGCCTGAGGCGAGGGTCTGAATGAACACCTAGATCTGGGTCACCATTTTGGCCTGCCTAGTACCTGATTGTTTGGCTTCCTGCGAGTATGACTGGTCCACCAGATTATGAAATTTCCTGATTTCTTCAGAAAATAGTTTTCAAAAATATTCTCAAATACTTTTTTTTTAGAATTATCAAGAAGAATTTTGAGTTTGAAACTAAAACATTCTCACCTAAGAGGTAAAGTTAAGTCATTGTGTTTTAAGTTTTATTTTTGTATGCCAGATCAGGAGGAAAAATTAAGCATCAGGTCATTGATCCTCCTGCCTATTCAACATTTCAGAGTTTTTTTTTTTTTTGGTATTCATTTCGGACAACTAATATAGTTGGAGTCAGTAAGATTTTTCTTTTTAAATCTTACCAACCCTTTTAACTCTTTCGCTGCCAGCATTTTTGAAAAAAGTTGCCATTATTTTACATATGCATCTGCTTACATATGCTTTCACTTGTTTCTGCTTCTTTTTCGCCTGTGTTTTGATTCTGTACTCTTTCTGAAGATGTGTAATAGCGCTCCCATACAGTATAACTGAAAACACGGAAAGCCGTCAAATTCCGTCAATGGCGGTGAAGCGTAGTTTCATAAATGACAGAAAATTTCGCCAATGGCGAGGTAAGAGTTAAATGGTAGTGTATAATGTGGCAAAAGTTGCTAAACTATTATGCACAGAATTGAAAATGATTTATAAAATATTACAAGCTCTTAGTAAAGATGATTGTAGTGCTGTTGTCACGTTTGGCGTCCAGCTATGCTGTGTTTCTGTGTACTTAAAAATTGATGCTGTAAAAAGGTATTTTTATGACCACATGCCACACCTCTCTTTTGGTTTATGCTGATTGTCTGTTAATATGATTGTGACATTAAGGTGCACTTTTATCTCTATCTCTTCCTTTTTCTCTCTCAGGTCTTTTATTAGGCAGCAGCAGCAGCAGTAGTAAATCAGCCACTAGTGGGTCTGTGGTTCAACCCACATCTGATTTCCTCAGCTTCTCTGATCCCAGCCTGAGGGCCGGCGACTCGTACACGCCTCCATCCTTTGGCCGTTGCCATGTGAAGGGTGGTGCAGAAAGCGGAGCCTCTGAAGGCATGGTGGCTCTCAACACCTTCAGCGTGATGTCCCTCCCCCAAAGCTCCAGCAAGCATTATGAAAACTGTCACCCTGCTGGAGAGCTGGGCGGCCTGGCCTCTGCCGGCTACAAACGACCCCAGCCCTCCTCGTCCTCTTCCTCTGCGACATCATCTTCATCTACAGGTGAGGATGGAGTGAAGAAGAAGAAGAGAGGGAACTGGAGGAACCGGTATGGACCGTGCTTTACCACCCAGGACAGTAAAACCACTGATACTGGAGAGCACGGATCCACAATGCCCTCATCCACCTCCCCTTCGCCATCCTCCATGACCACCATGTCCTGCCGCGGGAGCACCGTTAGCAGTACTGGAGGTGTGGGAGCGGTGGGTGCTGGTAGCAGCAGTTTGGGGATTCAGAAGTCCCCATCCCTCCTCAGGAATGGAAACTTACAGGGTATGACTGTCAGTTCCCCACCTGCTGGACCAGGTGAGCAGAGAGAGCCATAAGATGCATTTCATTTGTTTAAAGTTTGCTTAAATTCAGCATGAAACTAAAATTGATCCTGTTTATTGTGAATTGTTCAAATGTGCACAAATTCTCGCTAGTAAGGAAGAATTATTTTGATGTTGTGGATGATAGCAATACAGTGCATAACAATAGGGCTATACGATTAATCATTTAAATCATGATCAAGATTTCTGCTGTTCTTGTTTACACATAATCGTCTTTGACATTGGCACATTGGTTATTTATCCTTTTATTTTTTATTTTTTGACATTTCCGTTATCTTGCATTGGAAACAAACCTCTAGCTTTCATGCTTTGGGTTGCCAGATGTCAAGAGTTAAGATCCCTCATTCAAAGCTTTCTCTTAAATGGATACTTATTCTTTCTTCCTAGTGTTTTACTTAATCATCTCAACGTGGCAACCATGTGTACCCAGTCTCTCTGCACTGTATAAAAATTCTGATGATCTTAAAACACAAACACACAAAAGTTTAGCTTTTGAAATTTTTTTTCTGAAGTCCCATCCTGTTTCATGTTGACTTTGAGGTCCATGGTTATGTCTATCTTTTTCAGCCCATGTTGTTTTTTTATTTCTATCTTTCACATTCACAGCCTCATTTTTATTCCTTTCATATTACAAATGACGTCTACCATTGCTGAAGTTATTTTTTTCTTTTTAATGTGTCTACACACTCTTTAATCCAAATATTCTCTCCTAATGTTCTTTTCGAAAATTCTTTCTTCATCTTTTCTTGTCTCTGTTTTTTTACCTTTACTGTTTTTCTTTTCTTTTTCTTGGACCCATACAAATGAAAGCATATAAAAAATGGGCTATCATAAATTGGCATGTTTTGGTCGATCTGAGATAATTATTTTTCAGGAATTACTCGTTGGAGGGTCTTTTCAATATCCCAGTCAGTTCAACTCCTCTAATTCATCTTAATCTTCCCATGAATTGCAGTTTTTTACATCTCTATTTATTTAAAAAAAAAAGAAAAGAAAATCAATTTGAGGTCTGCTTTTCTCGAATAGAAGCCTGGGAACCAGCATGATGTTGTTTTGGTCTGTGCTGAAGCTCATTAGGATAAAAGTGGATGGAGGTGCTCTCTAAAGTGCTTCCTCATTCCTACCTGATTGAGAGCTTAGAGTGGGCTGCTGAATCTCCATAGAGATGCACATTAACCTGTTGAGCCCGAGGGAGCTGGAGGAGGGAAGGAGCCCGTAACAGGCAATTAGTTAAAATTTTATTTGTTCCTCCCTGTCGTTGTCTTTGCTCGGGATCTAGAGTGAGCCGACATCACTTACTGGTTCAAGATAGTGTGTAGAAATGCCCTGACCCCTACTGGCCTTCCAGTTCACTGATGTGGAGCCAGAACTTGCGATCTTGGTGCACATGCTACGTTCTTTCTCACTCATTTGCCGGCACTATCTCGCTCACACCTGCTAAATCTAGCCATTGACATAAGCGCTCCACGCACACATGCCAGTTAGAATGTTAAACGGGCCTTATCTGTGGCACTGCACTGTTGCTTGGCAACCATCCGGCTTTTTTGTAGTTTCTTTTCTTCTGATTAGAACTTAAATCTGGTGTGTCTTTTTTTCTCTATCACTCCCTGCTATGTGCCGTCTCACTATCACCCTGTCCCCTCTCTCAAGGATTTTTTTGTTTGTTTTGTGCTTTTCTCCCACCCGTCCCTGCCCTCACCTGTTCCTGGCCTTTGGCTGGACTGTAAATATTTAGCCATTGCTAATGCAGGGCTACAGCAGAGTGCTCCACCTCATCTATCTGTCTCACCCTCCCTCTATTGCTCCCAGCCCTCTTTCTCTTTCTCTTTTTTTTTGGATGGATGGATGACTGGTTTATCAGGGGAGCAGTGGGGGCTATTATTAAATGCAAACATCCATCTCAGCCCCGGCCGGGTGTAGGGCTTTATAGGGTGTTATTTGGAGAGGATGGAATGATTCTTGTTGGTTTTCATCTGAAATTAGAAGGAAAAGCTGGGTGAGACAAATGAGCACAATGTACTGTTAAGGCTGGAAGACTCTACACAACTTTTGATAACTGAACAGATTTTAAAACACTAGGCATTGTACGCTTGTCGACTTAGAATAGGGTTACAGAAAAAACTGGCCATCATACACTAAACGGCTGAAATTCACACATCACCAGGATTTCAAGTTGATCTGAGCAAAACTTATGCAGAAATGTGAATGTGAATCCCCCAGACTGCAGATCAGGACAAAAGTCATGTAGCATATTCCATCCTTTAGGGGCTGTTCACACAGAATATGGTTTTGGAGGGGAGGGGTTTATGTAAATATATTTCAGATGGACTTCTTTGTAATATTTTTTCTTTGATTTCTTTGTATCTTGCACATGATACAACGTGAAACTAAAAATGTTGCACACAAGTTAAAATAAGTTCAATATATTAAAAAAATGTATTTGTTTTTTCTTTTCACTGCCCTGCGTCTTGCATTTTTAAATGCTAAAACGTATTATGCGTCACAATGTACCTGTATGACTTTCTTTTCCTCTTTTAAAGAAAGAGAATGTTTGAACCATATTTTCCATACACTGAATACAATTTTGTCCATCCATACAATGAAAGTCATTTAAGCCCCATTGGCTTTAATTATATGGACAAAACAACACAGAGACATTTTTCATCACATCTTCTTTTATGTTCCACATAAGAAAGTCACACAGGTTTGGTGATATTACAACATGATGCACATAATGACAGAATTTCATTTTTGGGTGAACTATCCTTTTAAGCCTGGATTTATTACTCTAGGATGAAACTGTGCAGCTGTTCTGACCTTTCAAGTAAACATTGACAAGCAATGCATGCATTTGCTGCATTAACTGCAGCCGTGCGCCTTAACTTATCGCTCTCTTTTGGCACACATTAGAAACATCAAGCCTGACTGACTGTTCACATGTGATGGAACATATCTTGAAGCTAGTAACCCAACGCAAAACACTTCAAGACATCGATTACTGTTCATGATACCACATTTAAATTAAAAACATCTGCCACGTCAAAGGCCTAAATATGTTCTACTGCCGTGCAACAATACCTCGAATCAGTCCCTCCTTTCTTCTCTTCGTCCGTAAGGAAAGTGCAGAGGATCCTTATCAGGTTCTGGGCCTCGTCATTAACCTCCCTCTGAACTCGCATGGATTTTCTGCTGAGAGAGGAGACAGGGGTTTGACTTGAAATGCTGGCTAATCTAATTTGAAATTTCCCCTCTTCCCCTGATTTGATAAGAGGGGGGGTTTCAGGAGAAGATGTTAAGTCCTGATCGATCGGTCTCGTTCGATCAGCACCAGATAACAGGATCTTTGTCCTTGCTTTGTTTGGTCACTCATGTCTTGTAACCTCTAATCAAATGCTCTGTTGGTTGACCTTTTCTGAAATGTTAATTATTTACCAGATTACCAGATCAACACGATGATTTAAAGATTGATCCAATCATTAATGCATCAAGTTAGCCGTTGGTATTCACAAATCTTCTAAAAGTAAAACGAATTGGGATTAAATGGAATACCGTGACACAGTGATGTCTAAGCTTCCTTTCTATATTGCATATGTCCTATGTGGAGTTCAGAGCTTGGTACTGTAAATGCTTCACGTGGTACCTCTCCGCCCAACAATGTTTCCTTGTTTCAGCAGTGAATGTAGACTGCCGCGAGCCATTCATTCCTTTGTGTGGCAAGGGGGCCTCTCTCGTTCCTCCAATGGGTCAGCCTGGGCCATCAGCTGGGTTTATTTGAGATGGTGGCAGGGGAGGAGGGAGAGAGAAAAGAGGGAAAAAATCAATTAAACAACAGCAACAACAAACAGCGTGCATGTCATGAACCGGCACATAAATATGAATGGGCCGCACTCCGGCCACGCCTGGAAAGCCCTCAGTCATTTTTGCGGAAGAAATAGTGAGTCGTCAGATTCAGGGAACTGTTTTCTGGGTCACCGGGAGGCCGGTGCAGAGTGCATGTTGAGAGGACTCAGAAATGCTTTGTGCTCGCTCTCGATGTCTGCTGTAATGAGGGCCTGGTCAGACAGGCCATTCAAAGTCCACAAAGTTCATCTCAGGGGCAGCGAGAAAGATAGATGGATAACCAGTGAAGGTATATTGGAGGACAGAGGTTGCCCTTACAGCTATTAAAACTTTGCTTTTACCACTAGATTACAGGTCATAACCTGTGTTGATTGGTTTCACATCCCCCAGTTGCTATGCCAGATCTCCTGCTGATAAACAAAACAATGTTATGTTTGACTGAGAATTAGAAGAAAATGTTTGTCTTGGAGATTATTGAAGATGTGCTGTTTTACTTATATAATTTACTGTAATTGCTGTCTTTTTGCAGGTTCGTACCCCAGCAGTAGTGATGTAGCCTGCTCGTTGCCCAGTACGGTGCTTGGAGGGTCTCTGTCCGGATCCAATTCCGAGTTACCTGCTCATCAGTCTGTGGTCACTTCAATGCCCACTCTCACCTCACTACCCCCGACCGCCCCGTTCACCAGCACTTCATCTACACATGTGAGTATTTGGTTTGCTTTTGGTGAAATGGGTGAATGAATAAAAGAAATCGATTTGAGCATAAACATGTGATTCAGCATCCCTAGGCTATATTAAAACGGCATAAGATGTTTTTGTTTAGGATTTAGCTACTAATACACAACCATTAGGTCAGTAATGTTTTTTTTTTCAGCTAATGCATTAAATTGATCAAAAGTGACAGTAATAAAATTCATATAAATCATCATTTCCACAGAACAAAGCTTCACACACAACTGTTTTCAACATTGATAATAAGAAATATTTTTGGAGCAGCAAATCAGCATATTAGAATGGTTTCTGAAGGATCATGTGACACTGAAGACTGGAGTAATGATGCTGAAAATTCAGCTTTGCCATCACAGGAAAAATACATTTGTAAAATATAATCAAATAGAAAACAGTTGTAATTGCAATACTATTTTACAATATTAGTTTTTACTGTATTTTTTATCAAATAAATGCAGCCTGAGAGAACTTTCGAAAACAAAGAAAATCTTACTGACCGTAAACTTTTGAACAGTAGTGTACACATGCGAAGAAAAGTAATACAGCTAATTGCACAGCTTAGTTTCTGCTCAGTGCTCACACATATCTGTAATGCATTATCTCTCACAACATTAACCAGTTAAATAGAATTTTACTCATAGTTTTTGTACTGTGTTAATTTGCTCCAATTTTATCAAGATAATTGCTGTTTAAGCACATTCATGGCACAAATAGTAATTAACTCCTAAAAGGCTCAGATGTAAACGTTGGGTGCAGCTATTTATGTTTTAAGTAACTCGCATGTGATGTGATTTTTCCCTTTTTTCTTTTTCTACAGAACAAATGAATTTGGTTCTGAAGTGCCCAGGTTGTGCTAATGCAATATTTATGTAATTGCGACAGTAATATTAACAGTAAGAAGGAAGCCATCTAAGGGCCGCATGTCTACATAACATGTCAGTGGGAGAAGTAAAATTTGTCACTTCAGACCTAATTTTTCAGCTCTTGAAAGACAGTGTTTTGAGTCATTTAGGGTATTTATTACTAGGCTGCTTAAGTATATGGTCTTAACGGATGAATGTGATTGTGTTTGCATTAGGTAGTCAGAGAAGTATGTGTGGTCAAATAAACAGAACGACATTGTGAGAAAAGAGCTGTAATTGGCTTTATATTTGCTATATATGTCGCTTTGAGTCAGTAATTATATTTATATATAAATAAAGATATTTTTCTATGTTTTTGAAAGAAGTCTCTTATGCTCATCAGGGCTGCATTTAAAATAAAAGTAATAAGTGTTTCTATTTTAATATATCTTAATGTAATTTATTCCTGTGATGGCAAAGCTGAATCTTCTGTCACATGATCCTTCAGAAATGATTCTAATTCTAAATGCTCAAGAAACAATATTATCAATATTAAAAACAGTTGTGCTTCTTATTTTTAATATATATTTTTTTGTAACATTATACATTTATTTACTGTCATTTTTGATCAATTTAATGCCTTTTTCTGAATTAAAGTATAAATTTCTTAATGAAACAATATTTAAATCATTAATAAATACAGAATGGATGAATCGGCGACTTCAGAATCCCCTCCCACTCATTTACGAACTCCTGCGTGTGTTTAGATGGCAATAATAAAGTAAAGTCATTCTTACAGGCTCCCAGTGCTGCTCCAAATAGGCCCTTTGGAAGCGCACTAGAGACTGAGCACCATCTCTGCCGCTCTCCTGAGCATCTTTGTCTTGACTTGCACTGCTGTAGCAACCGGTCGTTTCCAGGCAACAGGGCTTTGTTTGTGCAGATCTGCCCTCTCTGCAGGCAGGGTGGCCTTACATTAGGAGATGAAGTAAACCCACTGATGGCCTTAATGCTGCAGGGCTCTCGGCGGTCCAGCCCTTTCTAACGCACGCTTGCAAATATCATCCATTAGTCCTAAGCTTTATGGCATAAAGAGATTTAATATGATGTACTTTTTTCTTTACTAGATAGTTAGCAGATCAGTAAACAGGTGATGTTTTTAAAAGTATGTCTGGGGTCAGGAATACAATTCATTTTTATTTGATGTATAACATGGTGTTTTATCATATATTCAGTGCAAACAATCATCCATCAGCATGACTGTCCCTGAGATGTTTTTCTTCTCCATCTCTAACACTCCCTTTGTGGATGGAAGAATGGTTGGACGAAAAAAAAAATCAGTGGTTGCAAGCTGGGCAGCGGTGACCTTCGACCCCAGCACACACCCCCTAGGCCCACCTCTGTCTCACTATTCGTTAACCTCTACAATGGCGCTGAGAGCCGTAAGCCTCAAACAATCCGGCTGTCCTTCTTTTCCCTGTGCGGGCGTATTGAGCTCTGCTCGCTGATGGGATGAGGGCTGACAGGCTGGACGGAGAGCTGTGTAGTGGGATGAGGGGTTCTCTTCATACTGGTCATGCTCCCTCCTCTCGCCTGAAAGAGGAGTCTGAGGAATAGGGAGGGCCTGCGGGGCCGTGAGGGGCCAGGGGAATGCAGGATATTACCTTATTTTTTTTTTTTATTTTTTTTTTAGAACCATACCATTAATATTTATTATAATAATGTTAATAATAATATTAGAAGAATTGCTATGCAATTTTTTTTTTTTTTTTTTTTTTTTTTTTTTACAATGTTAATAGGCAAGGCAGTTGAAATTCAATGTCAGGTTTAGGGTTGGAGTACCTGATAGACTTCACTCCATGTCCAAATAAAGCACAAAACCATAAAGCACATTTTTACATGTTGTAGTTGTTAGTTGAAGAGCCATAAAAGAAGCATGTTTTCAAGGTTGGTTTAAACATTGGCATTGTATGGGTGTCTATTCATTGGCCATTTGCAAGAGTGGTTTCCACCAATTGTATTTCAGTCTGATATGGTCAGAAATCCTTAAGTTAGACATAAAGACATTATTCTAAAATAACAGCAAGAAATCCAATACATTGTAATTTCAGCAAGCATTATTTCCTGTTTGGATCAGATAAGGCCTTGATGTAGATAAAGCAAAGAAAGGAAAAGGAAAGAATGTATTGATTTTATGAAAATATGCAGTGCGAAATAGGATGTGTTGTATGAAGTGCATAATTGTATTGATCCCCGCCCCCATCATATATACACTACCGTTAAAAAGTTTGAGGTCAGTAAGATTTGTTAAAAAAATGCTCTTATGCTCACCCAGGCTTTTTTTTTTTTTTAAATGTAATTAATTCCTGTGATGGTAAAGCTGATTTTTTTAGCAGCCATTAATGTCACATAATCCTTCAGAAATCATTTGAATATGCTGATTTGAAGAATATTTTATTTTATCCTTGCATTTATTGCATCCTTGCTGATAGCAGGGTCTGTAAATTTGAATAAATATGAGTAATCATCTCTTTTATGTAATAATTCTTCAGTTCTCGATAGTTCTTCATCCTCCCAATAATTCTCTGCTATTTACAAGATTGTTTTACAGCAAAGGTGTTATTTAAATGCGAGTCATGTGAAGGTTTGTGTGGTTTCCACCATGCTCCAAGTTTGTTGAACATATGCTGCTATCTCAGAAGCAACACCGCAACCAATCCCAACCACTATTAGGGAAATAGCTTAATTGGATTAAATAATTAGCTGCAGAAGCACATGGTCTGCATGTTGTTCAGGGCTGTGGATCTGCTGTTGCAGGCTCAGCCAATTCTCCTGGCTCACAGGAAATACAGCTGACATGGTGTTTTATCATCCAGCTCTTTGGCCAACGCTCACGCACACATTCAAACACGCACATGCAGGGACACGCACTTAGGCACCCGAAATATTTGGAATTTGACAGGTTTTACATCTTTAGTCTAACTCTCTTTCTTATGCTTTTCTTCTTTAGTCAAACTCACTACCGGGATCCTTTAACCTGGCGCCATCCCATATGTTCGGAAACAGGCTGAATCCGAACTCCGCTATGGCTGCACTGATTGCCCAGTCCGAGAGCTCCCCAGCAGGTGAGACACACAGACGGGGAACCACACTGATTTTTAGCTGGTACCTCCCACTGGCACAGAATTCCCTTCTCAAATCCTTTCTTCCTGCTTCCTGCGCTCTCTTCTCCCATTTCTCCTCATCCTCCCATTCTTTCTCCACTCCCCTGTGCATGTGGAATGTGTGGTCAGCTGTATTCCCCCCCCCCCCCACCTCCTCAGGTCGCAGAGAGAGGGAGAGCCAGAGAACAAAACTCCCCGGGACAGAGAGCTGAAAGTGTGCATACCTGTTAAATGAAGCATGCTACCACTCAAACATTTCATTAATCTGCACAATGACCGCAGTGATGACACAGAGGGGATTGCCCTGGGTTTAGGAGGCAGGCATACCTTAGACTCCCTCCCTCTATCCTGGGCCACTCAACACTTTCCCTGGACCCTGCCTAAACCCTGGGGGTCTCAGTCATGAGCGAATGGGCTTGCAGGACCCTGTCATGGGGGTTGGGGTGAGGAGTGGGACCAGTTGAAAGCAAGAGAGAGGAGAAAAAGAGGAACACAGCCTTTGAGGAATAATGGATCAGTCATGCCCTCCTCCTCAAACAGAGGTCAGGGGGTCATTTGACTAACAATAGGAGGAAGAACACCCGTCCTTAAAGAGACCACCGCTCGAGACTGGAAAGCTTGCGTGCTTTTAGCACAAGCCCGACTCTTGTCTGGTGATTGTTCTCAACGCAGCACATCTAAATACTGATATATATTGAAGCTTATATTTGGAGTTAGGGTTCTTTAGGGAAATTAATACTTTCATTCAGCAAGGATATATTAAATTGATCAAAAGTGATTGTAAAGACATTTATACTGTTTAAAAAAGATTACTACAAATAAATGCTGTTCTTTTGAACTTTCTATTTATCAAAGAATCCTGGAAAAGGTTTCCTAAAAAAACTGATTTTAACGTTGATGATAATGAGAAATATTTCTTAAGCAGTAAATCAACATGGCTGTTGGAAATTCAGCTTTGCCATCACATAAATATATTTCCTTTTAAAATATATTAAAATATATTTTAGATTTAAATTAGTTATATTTACATTACTGTTTTTTCTGTACTTTTGATTAAATAAATGCATCCTTGGTGAGCTGGGGTGAGCATAAGAGCACTTCTTTCAAAAACATAATTATATATTATCTTATTATTATGTATTCTAATGTAACATTTAAATTAATAACTGTTTTGTTTGCATCTTGCATACATGCCAGGTATATTTCAGCCATTAGCCACCCTGTTGTCTAAATATTGGCATCGGTCAATATAAAAAAAAAAACACTAGTCTAAACGTTTGTCATGGGATCCGTGAGACTAACACTAGGCTTGTTAACATTTTAACAAAGTACTTGTTCTTTCCTTTCAATTCTGGTCACCTGTTGCTCATAGGTTTCCACTGTCGTTCAGTCCCCTGTTCTTTCTGTGTTTTTTATTTATTTTTTTATTTTGTAAAATGATACCCGGTGCTTTCAGGTCCAGTCTGCACTGCAGCCCCAGGGCTGATCCAGGGTCAGGCAAGGGGTCAGCACCATAATAAGTCACACCAGACCTTGGGCGGCTTGCACTGATGTGCCTGCACCCCCACTGGAGCCAGCCTGTGCTTGAGGTGGTAGTGGGCTGGAAAGTGTTAAAAAGAACAAGACTGTTGAGAAAAAGGAAAGGGGGGAAGGAAGCAAGGAGGAAGAGAAAAATGGGATTGGCTAACTGTGATTTGAAGGGGGTGTGGAGAAAAAAAAAGAGAGAGAGAGACAGAGAAAGGAGGGAGGGGGTTGTGCTTGGCGAGGCGCATATGTGATTCATTACTTTCACTGCAGAAAATGAAAAGCAGTGTCTGGCATGGGGCCTGCAGGCAGGGCGATGGGAGCCTCCACGGGAAAGAAAGAGCTGGGGTGAGGGGAAGAACGGAGGGAGGGGGAGAGAGAGAGAGAGAGGTGACTCAGTGACACACTCGGTGGTGTCAGTGTGCAAGCTGAGCCGCCAGAGAGACCACTCTGCAGCCCCTAGATGGATTTCTGCGAGGGAGATCTGATGTCTACCAGGCTCACTTTGGATCGAGCCTGACGTTCCTGCATTTCCCAGGCTTCTCTTGTGCCCACATCTGCACTCCGGCTCCTTATCGACTGCTCTCTGTTTACCTTTCAGATCAGGAGCTAGGAGACGGAGCTCTCGGCTTCTCCAGAAGAGGAAACTCACCAAAGACAAGCCTCTCCCCTCGGTAAGTCCTATTTACATTCCTGAGCTAGACTTCCCCTCCTCCAGGCTCCGAGATTTTGCTCGCCCTCCCTTCCCCCATAGAACACACTCATTCACTCACTCCGCTTCCTCCCTTGCGCGCTCACCTTCCGAACAGCAGGCATTTTGAACACTCAGCTGTTGCCCTTATCGCAGTTAAAGCAGCTTCAGAGTTTGATGTGGCAGTGATGTCTCAGAACGCAGAAAGAAACATTCTGTTCATTTTCTGTAACCCAAGATATAGCATTTTTTGCCCTGTGACTGAGGATATAAATGGATTAATATTCAAGTGAATATACTGCCTCCAGGATGTAATATTTTTGGTTGACAAGGTATGTCGAGTTTCATTTAGATCGCTTCTGTTACTTAAGGAGTGGATTATTTAGTGTTTTTTGTGTACTTTCATTGCTGCTTCAGTATATTTCATGTATGGATATGAATATAAACAATATTTTCAAATGCTGTAATCGACTCTTTTCAGATCAGTTTTATCTTTTTTGTGGAATGCATTTAGCTCAATATCAGTGTAAAATCTTAGCTTGTCATTTTGTGTGTAAACTGTTTTGCCTGTCAGCAATTTCAGTATTTAAAGTATAAGGGGACATTCACACACAACACATTTTTGCTTTCCACTGTGCTGCATCTTGTTCTTTTTTGTGAATGGGCCTTAAATATATCCCACATGTCCATGAATCTCATTCAGAAGCATTCTGCACTGTTTTCAGATTGACTGCAAAAATATGTATCTGCTTTTTCTGTGATCCGCACCGGAGCAGCCATGCAGGATGATATGGATTCACAGTCCTGTGCTGGAGATTTATTGCCTTGTGGTGCGGATCTCAGCCCAGTCGTAATTACCCCAGAGATAGATTCACGTTCGCCAGAGATCCCTGATGTAGAGCCCAGAGCTGGATGCATTCATAATAACACAGAATGCTGTATGTCCAAACAAGAGCGTACTGAGATTTATGGTGTCAGAGACGCAGGCCCAGGCTCTCTCGCTTGCACGAGCTTTGAACTCTGTTTGGCTTTACAGAGCAGTGCGTCTGCCTCTGAAGGCATGATGCCAGACAAGGAGTTCAGCTGTGTTGTTAATACAGCAGTGGTCTAGTATCTGTTTGTAAACAAAAACTATTACTATATTTACAATTGGAATTCTACCACTTAGGGCTGGGCGATAAATCATATCGAGATCGCAATGAAATTTACATCAATAACTATGATAAGCTCTGGACATTTTAACTCAATGGATTAATTTAACAGCCTATCACATGGCAGAAATAAACGTGACAACAGCCAGTGAGTGCATGTTGCTAATGAGTGATTTCTACGTGTCTTTGTGTGAATGAACGCCGTTGTTTCATCTGATACACAAACTCACACACGTGGCACTGACTGTTTTCAGCGTCTGCCTTCTCAATATATGAACACGACATGAACACATGAACTTCATCTCCAGAGCTGGTTTGAGTCACTTCACAAGCTTTTCACCATTTCATTTGAGAAAAAACACTGTCAAATGCACACTGAACCTGAAACTAAAACGGAAAGATCCTCACAACAAACCGCCTAAAGAAAAGTTTAGTTCAACTTCAAGAAATTATGACAAATTTCTTGCTACTGTATACTAAAATCTACTTCTAATTTCTAAGGAATATCATACAACCAATATATTTATTCATCCATGTTTTACATTTTTAGTTCTGTTGTGCAGTTCTGTATTTGACAAAAAATAAAAATTTTAATTAATTTTTAAGTTTTATTGTAAATTAATTGTTGAATTTTCATTTGATTACATTTTAAAAGCTTGATTAAATTGTTAAAGTTTATATAAATATGTATTAAATCATACAAAAACCAGTCCCCAAAAAATAAAATAAAATAAAATGGAGAATTTAGGGGAGAGTAAAATGGATTTCATGGGGACCTAAATTAAAAGGTAGCTACTCTATGGAGTTTAATTGTGAAGTTTACATGATTCATTCTCAAGGTCTAACAAATATGTGGAAAGCGTTTCCTTCCCCATTAATGGTACATTTAATTTTGTGATAAATATCGATATCGTATGATATGGAAAAAATATATTTTGTTAATATTTTTGGCCATATTGCCCAGCCCTAGTACCACTGATGCTTAGCTTACCTGCTCTGACATGAATTTACATTTTAAATTCACAATGAGACAAATTTAGCTGTGTATATGTATCTCACTTGTCGTCTTGTATATGATTTTAGGTCTCCGTTAAGTGGGCTTCATATCCGATATGACTCGTCAGGACCGTTGGTTTCAGGACTCGGCTCTGGTTCGGATGCGCTGCCCCCTGTGGCCACCAGCATTGACCAGCTGCTGGAACGGCAATGGAACGAAGGACAGCAGTTCCTCCTACAACAGGGCCCGCAAGGAGATGGTGAGAGGCTTTTTTACACTTTTATAATGATGTTGCTTCTGTGTACAATACTAAACCTCAACACTCAAGCACAGAGTTGTTTGGCCTTGTCTTGATGTCACTGTGTTGGTCTTGCTGCGGATGTTGTTTAGCCATAGGATCCAGTTAAACCAGCTTGAGTATTAAACTTTACGTAACTCATCCCTCAGAGACATGAATAGTTCCTCAAATTATGTGGCTTGTTGAGAAGGCAAGTGCTATTTTTTTAAGTGATACAACTTAGGATTTTCAACTGGCAGATGATAAAAAGAGCAAAAACAAAACAAAAAAGCAGAGCCATTATTAGGGACAAAATGTAATAGAGACTTCCAGGTTGACTCTTTTGACCTTGGCAGTAAACAACCACCCAGAACACCTTAACAACTGCATAGCAACATGCCATATAGCAACAGCAACACCCTGGAAACCCACTTACTACACACTGGCTTTTGCATTGAAAATATTACAACAGGAATTCATTGATTTTTACAAGTCTAGCTGAGAGGGTTTACAGTAGATATCAAAAGGCATTTTAAATTAATTGCTCATTAGCACACTAAAAGCCTTTATTATTTATGGTCATTGAAAGTTGGCTCATCTCATGAAAATTGTTGCTGTTATATTGAGTTTAATTCATCCCTTTTAATCTCAGGGTGCATAATGATAAACTTGGGTCTATTGCTTTCACTCAATATTTTATTTAAAGCAAGAATAATTACTTACGTCATAAATGGTATTTTACTGCATGTCAGTCAAATAATATGCCTGTTTGAAGCCTGTAATTACATCCGTCCCCATAACGTGAGTAATTAATTTATTGGTTAATGCCACCGTAATTATGAGCTTCATTACCTGTCTGTAGCTTGTGTAGTTTCATGATCGGCTAAGTAATTTTTGTGATGAGGTAGTAGTGAATTTCTCAGTAGCGGCAGGTCGGTTTGTGGTGTCAGGATTGTGTGAATGAGCAGCAGCTGTTTCTGTAATGATAGAGGCTCCTCTGACGACGTGGGGGAAGTCTGACAAACGCATGGAGATGCCTGCACAGGAAGCGCTAGGACGGTTGTGTTTCTGTTCGCCGCTGATATGGGACCAGTTCTGCGGTTTCACTGACAGTGCATCTGGTTTGCATTTGGCTCGGGTTTGCCGCCCCCCTGATCAGTGCCGTGTGATCCTCCACGAGCATGCGGGAAAGAGCGGAAGTCTGTCGTTGTAGTTCCTTCTGGAGGTCTTGAACCGCACTTGTGCCGATGTAGTTTTCGTGCTTGTGGTATCGGGTTCGCTGCTTCTGAAAGACTTGATGTCGGTGGTTTGTAACCACTTTTATTTTTGCCGTCAAATCTTGTCAAGTCCACTTTCTTTTTATATATCACTTCATACTTAAATTACAGATTGTTTAAAACTTCTTCACTGTAATGAACAGGAAAATAACACAATCGATGCAAACTTTAAATGTAAGACAAATTGTAATTCTGCTATAAAACTGCTCTAAAAAGATGCTTTAAGATTATTTGATGGGTAGGTTTTTATGTGTGTGTTGTTTTTTGTCCAGTTCTGGGAATGCTAAAGTCCCTGCACCAGCTCCAGGTGGAAAACAGGCGCCTGGAGGAACAAATCCGAACTCTTACCATGAAGAAGGAACGACTGCAGCTCTTGAGCGCTCAGCTCTCTGTGCCTTTCACCCCCGCGAGCACCACGGCCACCACTGCCTCATCTCCTCTGTACCCCAGCAACACTCACCCAGGTGAGCAGTCTCCACTACCTTCTGCCTCTTGTCTACCCGTACAGTTTTCACAAACTCCATCTGGACAGTCACAGTCCAATCCCACCCCAAACACCCCCTCCTCCCGATGAACATAATCACACATACACACATACGAGACCACCTCTCACCCGTCCGACCCCCTTCCTCCCCTCTGTTCTGCTCACGGAGCCTCCTCTCCCAGCTCAACTCTAGCTAATCTGGTCTCCGCATTCATGTCAAGTTGCAAAATCTCTCTCTCCTCCAGACATGCTGCACAGCAAGAGCATTCAGCTAGGCAGCAGTGTTTTAACAGAGTCCTCTCAACCCTTGCCCACTCAGGTAACTTCCTCTACCCCTGCTCTGCAGATGCCATCTGCTGGGACTGAGCACCTCTTTAGTTGAGTCAAGTGTTATATTATGTATATCTGTACATAGTTGAGTGTAGGGCTGGGCGGTATGACGATGCATATTTTGGCGACGATGTAAAGTGTCTATCGTTATAGATTTTGCTATATTGCTTATGTCACAGTATGTAAATATATCTGCGTAGCACAGTACTACTTAGTTATTGACATGTTAGGGTGATAAAGAAACATGTATGAATAAGAAAATAAGGAGGATGTGCATGATGTTAATAAGCCTAAAAGCCATGAAAAAAAGTTAACTCAATGATGTGCTCGTGCTGTCTGACACAGACTCGAAGTGCTCGCAAGGAAATCCACCTCTCAGACAGCATGTGATCCCCAAATCGGTTCTCTTTCGTGACTTATTGCATGTAAAAGGTGAAATACACACTCACAATTGTCAAAAAAAGGCCCATTGTGGGGAGTATTCACATAAACACAGTCAGTTATGTCTTAAGTGAAAAATGTGTCAGTATGATATAGCCGTGCATGAGGTCTTAAAGTGACAGCAGCCTAATATACCTGCTACTGTCTGCATCATTAATGTTAATCAAACAACACGAGGAAGAAAATCACTCACTGCTCTTGACTAAATAACTTTTGTAGCTTTAATAAGAATCAATTTATATTTTGTTTATACATACAGTGAAGCCTATGCAGTGTCTTATTTTTACATTTATTTAATTTACTCAGTACCAATACCAGTCAAATTTCACGGTTCTTGGTACTAATTTCAGTATCATAGAGAGAACTTTTGTGACTATTGTTTTCCTTTTCTTTTCTTTTTTTTCATTTTTTTTTTTTTACAATTTGAAAATTAAATATATTAAATGAATTTAGTTCATTATTAATACTACTAATTCTTATAAGTAAATCCATTAAAAAAAATAGCTTGCAACCTTCAAATATCGTTCAGTTAAACTTGCCTTAAAAAATCTAATGAAAGGTTTGTAATAAAATGAAAAACAAAGAAACGCATCACAGGTAACAGAACAAGTGGCAGGTCTATTGCAATTACACTTTAAGACTTAATGCACGGATCTGTTTCGATATATCAGATTTTTTTGACCTGCTTGTTGTCAAACATCACAGTTTCAGATTCAATCCCTCATTTTAAAACAGTTGTCACTCTCTAAACTTTGCAGTGTGTACTTAACAGCATGAAAAGTAACACTTTTCAAATTATGAATGGGTTTTATCAGAAAGCGATCAAAGAGCGCTGCCTTTTTAATCAATGAAGCTGATATCACTTCAGTTTAGCTGCAATGCAGTCTCACTGAGTGAAAACTCCTGTTATAACTAAAAAAAATCTGTCAATGAATGAATCTCTTATTTACATCGTCGTTATACTTTGTTGGCTATAACGAAATGATTCATTCATGCTGAACAAACTCCTTTTGAGAGATTGACTAACTTGAACGCCTCTGATGGGCGATTGGGTTCATGTGCTCAACAAACATGTCTGTGATTGGCTACAATGCTCAACGCTGCAAGAAACCTTGGATGCTCTTCACAGAGCTCTCACACAAATACAGACAGGAGTATTTGAAAGCAGAGCTTATCAGCGGGTAGTGAATTAACACGGTCCTCGTACTACCTGTACTGCAGAAGGACTAGTACCGTTACGTTTTTTAAATTTCGACTTGGTACCGAAGTACCGGTACTTTTGACTACCCTAGTACTTACTATTCGTTAAATAAACCTACTGTACCTGAAAACTTAATTTGTGTTTGTCCTTTTGCTTTTTTGTTCTTATTTTTAATTACTTAAAATAAAATTAAAAATAACAATTGTGATATGTATATGTATTAGTGTATATATATATACATACACACATTAGTTTTTCGTGAAATAAAATTTCTCATGACGTAAAATAGGATTTTGGTCATATCGCCCACCCCTAGTCGAGTGTTTCAGTGATGTGATGGTGTAGTACGTAGTTGCATCGTAAAGTCAGATTTTTCTGATAATTGGTGGCTGTGTGATGTTTAAGTGATTTGCAGCTTCCTGTAATTTAAAATGTAATTCGTATGATGATGCATCTTTTTGGTTGGACAGGTACCGGAGGTGCCTCTCTCACGTTGACCTCTCTTTTCTCCCTCTCTCTCTCTCACGCTCTTGTGCTTTCTCTATTCTTTCTTTTCCTTTCAGGATCCCCTGTCTGGTGGCCATAGTAGCGGAAGTAGCACGTCCTCTCTCTCCACCCCTCCTTCTGCGGCCCACAGTCCCCCCCAGCAGCAGGTGAACGGAGTCGGCATGGCCGGGGTGGCCATCCAGCCTGGCAATGCCAACTCGTCCCTACCTGCCATAGCCGGGGTGACTGGCCTGATGGGCGCTCTGCAAGGGAACCACCTGGCCATGGGTGGCATCGTGGGCGCCATAAACCGAGTGCTCCAGAACAACAGCCCCCTGCCCCATCCCTCAACAGCTACCAGCACATCCCTGCCCATGTCCAACAGCCTCAGTAACAGGTACAAACTGGCACTCGTCTTCTTAGCCTTTAAGTAATAAACTTGATTCATTTGGGATTTACTTTAAAGTGGGAGGCCTTAGTTGAGGATCCGTATTTCAGGGTCATGATAACATGGTCTGGATTAGCGATGAAATGGCAGGTGATTCTGATAAAGATGTGGAATTATGTGCGAATCTCATGGAAATATTAAATTAATAAAGAATAAATGCAACGTACACTACCATTTATAAGTTTGGGGTATGTATGCAAGTTTTTATGTTTTTGATAGAAGTCCTCTATGCTCACTAAGGCATGTAATTGATAAAAATAATACGGTAATATTATTACCATTTAAAATAACTGCTTTCTATTGTAATATTTTAACGTTGTTTATTCTTTTGATGGTAAAGCTGAATTTTCAGTAGCCGTTACTCCTGACTTCAGTGTCACATGATCCTTCAGAAGTCATTTCATTCTAATTTGCTGATTTGGTGCTCAAGAAGCATTTATAATTATTATTTTGTTTAAATCTGTTGTGCTGCTTAATATTTTTATGGATTTTTTCTTTTTTTCTTTTTTTATAAATATGCAGCTCAAAAGAATAGCATATAAATGTCGCTGGATCAATTTAATGCACCTTTTTGACTAAACAAATATGAATTACTTTTTAAATAAAACTTTTTGACACCAATCTTTTGAATGATAGCGTATAAATATACTATATTAAAATACTTTTTTTTTTTTTTAAATATGTATTTTTTATATATATTTATACATTGTATTTTTAATTGAAATAAACCTTTTGTTTGTTTTATTTTTATTTTGGGTGAATTGTGACGGACATGTTCATGAGATTCATCCATACAGCTTGGCACTGTGATGCATTCATATTTGCTTAATTTCATATCTTTTCTGCTTCCCGATCTCTCTTTTGCTTGCTCTTTTTGGAATGCAGCAGCATGGCCACTGTGAAAACCAGGTGAGGATTGGCTTGTTTGCCCTTTTTTCCCCACACTTGCTCATTTAGTTCTTACACCTTTGTGTTTTTGCGCCTGTGCGTCTGCCTCTGAAACAAACTTGTCTTGTAGTTCAGATTGAACAGCTGATGTTGTCTTATTAAACGGCCCTCCTATCCATTAGTTATCATTAGTGTTCTTACTTTAGCATACAGAAAGCATTGCATTTTAATTTAGATTTAATACTTTTGTCTGGCAATGGCCAAGATGTTTTTGAAATGTTACACATTTAGTTTTCTTATGGGGGCTTATGCACTTTTGTTTGCAGTGCTCTGCAAGGGAACCACCTGGCCATGGGTGGCATCGTGGGCGCCATAAACCGAGTGCTCCAGAACAACAGCCCCCTGCCCCATCCCTCAACAGCTACCAGCACATCCCTTCCCATGTCCAACAGCCTCAGTAACAGGTACAAACTGGCACTCGTCTTCTTAGCCTTTAAGTAATAAACTTGATTCATTTGGGATTTACTTTAAAGTGGGAGGCCTTAGTTGAGGATCCGTATTTCAGGGTCATGATAACATGGTCTGGATTAGCGATGAAATGGCAGGTGATTCTGATAAAGATGTGGAATTATGTGTGGATCTCATGGAAATATTAAATTAATAAAAATAAATGCAACGTACACTACCATTTAAAAGTTTGGGGTATGTATGCATTTTTTGTTTTTGATAGAAGTCCTCTATGCTCACTAAGGCATTTAATTAATAAAAAAAAATACTGTAAAAATAATAATATTATTACCATTTAAAAAAACTGCTTTCTATTGTAATATTTTAACGTTGTTTATTCTTGTGATGGTAAAGCTGAATTTTCAGTAGCCATTACTCCTGACTTCAGTGTCACATGATCCTTCAGAAGTCATTTCATTCTAATTTGGTGCTCAAGAAGCATTTATAATTATTATTTTGTTGAAAACAGTTGTGCTGTTTAATATTTTTGTGGATTTATATATATATATATATATTTAAATAAGTTCAAAAGAATAGCATATAAATGTCGCTGGATCAATTTAATGCACCTTTTTGACTAAACAAATATGAATTACTTTTAAATAAAACTTTTTGACACCAATCTTTTGAATTATAGTATAAATATACTATATTCAAATACTTTAAAAAAAATGTGTATTTTTTTTATATATATTTATACATTGTATTTTAATTGAAATAAACCTTTTGTTTGTTTTATTTTTATTTTGGGTGAATTGTGACGGACATGTTCATGAGATTCATCCATACAGCTTGGCACTGTGATGCATTCATATTTGCTTAATTTCATATCTTTTCTGCTTCCCGATCTCTCTTTTGCTTGCTCTTTTTGGAATGCAGCAGCATGGCCACTGTGAAAACCAGGTGAGGATTGGCTTGTTTGCCCTTTTTTCCCCACACTTGCTCATTTAGTTCTTACACCTTTGTGTTTTTGCGCCTGTGCGTCTGCCTCTGAAACAAACTTGTCTTGTAGTTCAGATTGAACAGCTGATGTTGTCTTATTAAACGGCCCTCCTATCCATTAGTTATCATTAGTGTTCTTACTTTAGCATACAGAAAGCATTGCATTTTAATTTAGATTTAATACTTTTGTCTGGCCATGGCCAAGATGTTTTTGAAATGTTACACATTTAGTTTTCTTATGGGGGCTTATGCACTTTTGTTTGCAGTGCGGAAAGGCTTTTCACCGAACAGCACAGGCAGATCCTCCTCCATCAGCACCAATTGCAGCAGATTTTCAACTCCCAACAGGTCACGCCGGTAAGCGGAGCACCTACACACTCTCCAGCACACATCCACAGAATATAGCATTCACAATTCTTCATGTGACGTTCGACATCAGGATAGCCCACATTGCAGCTTATTATGGCCATGATCAATCTTATTAGGCAAGATGATGCTGTCCTTTTGTAATGTAATGTTTACGGGCAGATGAATCCGAAATCATGCATAATTCCAAGAAAATTTGAATATACATGTTTGCATACAAAACACCATGTCGGTTAACCGGTTAATTATGAGCATCCATAATGGGTCTTTCTCAGAAGTGTTTATTTTAGCATCCTGGCTGCTTGTAGAAACAACTTGGAATTGCAATTTTGAGGGAACTCTTGCCACTTTTCTGTGCAATATGCATCAGACGGTCTGTGGGCAGTCTGTGGGTGTGCCATATTTGTCTAGACTTCTCATCATACTCTGTTTGTTTGTCTGTTTAGGAACAGCAGCAGGTTCTGCTCTATCAGTTAATGCAACAACAGAAGCAGCAGCAGCAGCAACAACAGCAGCAGCAGAATGACATACAGCTGCCAATCAACAGCCTCCTGCCCGGCATGCAGCCAGCCATCTCCACAAACCCCTTCCTCGCCATGCACAACGACAACAACACTCCTAAAACTGGAGCTGGTACTGCAACTATCAAACAGACAAAAGTATTGACACATATGATTCATTTTGAAATATTCATTATAATGTAGAGATAGCACTTTGACAATGCTGTGATTATTGAGAGTGTGTGCTTGTTTTATTCAGAGACTGGGGGAGAAGGCTGTGTCTGTAACAGGACAGGAGAAGACCTGATGCTAAAACAAAAACAAAAAAAAACATCATGTTGGAGGAGTTCTGCCTTCTGGATCCCTCTCATCTGTCCACCCCAAGAGGCTGGCAATCTGAGAAGAGCAGCAAGACCAGAACGTTCACCCACCGCACGAAAGCCTCACCAGCACCAGCCTTGATTTGAACACACACACACACACACTTTTGCCAGTTTGATGCCCATCTGGCAAACAACATGCTGCACTGAGTTTGAGTAAATCACTTCCTGTAAACTTACTGGGTCCCATGGGGCCCAAATGACAGGCTCACACACATATGTGCACACAGACACAGTCTTTCTCACTCTGCCAGTGTGCTGAAAATGACACGCTGGTGCGAGTCTCTGTGGGCGGAAAGTGTAGACGGAGGTCTCGGATGGTGGCGCTTCTGGAACAGTATCTGCTCACCGCTGTTACCTCTCTGTACCCCTTTAACAAGGAACGTCTCATGATAATCGTAATAAAAGCCCTGTCATAGTTGTCCGTCTGTGTATTTAAAGGCATCAAATGTTTCAAAGCTGACATTTGTGCACCATGAAGGCCTTCTCTGCATCCCGATCTTGAGCTTCTCCTTTGAGGAGGCGTCCCAAAGGTCCACAAATTTGTCTCACTGACCCTGCTGCACTCTTTGAAGAGCAACTACCTCTCAAGCCAGGACACATAGACGAGGCCCTGAACCCAAGTGCCTGGCCCCATCTCCAAGCTCTCAGCGAGGGGCCGCGTGCTGGAGACGCTGCCAGTCTCTTCCCCCCTCCCCCTTTTCCAGTCAATCCATTTTTGTGAAATTAATTAATACCAATCGGCGTCACTCAGGCAATACCAGTTCAGAGAGTCGCAGATCTCTGCCTGTACAGTGATTACACTGAAGAAAGAAAAAAACTGATTTCGAATGTTTGTGTTGCATTGATCATTTTTGAAGCCACCTTTCTATTGTTCTTTTTTTATTTATTTGCATTTGTTGCATGTTGGGCGCAAGGTAATATTTTAACGCTCAACTCACAAAATGTTTTTATACTACTGTACAAAATTCTCAGCTCTTTTGAGTCTTGTAAACATTTTGATGAACATGTCTGGTGTTTGAAGTTATAAGAAAAGAAAAAAGCCTACTTGATGATTTTTGTGGTCTTGTAAATACGCCTGTTTTTCCCCTTTTCTTTTTGTTGCTATGTAAATCAACAGATACATATTAAGAATAAGCTGTCAGAATAAATAAGATTTAGTTTAGCACACCTTTACCTCTTTTCTGTTGTAAATACATATTTGTGATTCACTTAGTGGTGTGAAGGACTGTTTTAAAGCACTGTCGGTGTGTTCAGAACTTTTTCAACAGGCTTTACACAAGACTGGTGACTGAATAAAGTGTATTAATTTATTTTTGTATGTGCAGGGACTTCTCTTTTTTTTTTTTTTTTTGCACCGTTTTATTGATGTGGTTTTATACGTTATAGATGTGGTATGTCCACGTTCTCATGTATCTGTACAGAAATTATGCAAAATCTCTAAAGTTTGTATTTAAAACATCGAAAGTGAAACCACACGAGTCCTGCTTCATATTAAGAAATTCTGAACACTGAGATTGTAGTGTTGCGCTTTTTTCAGAGATAAATTAAAATCTGTTTATAACAATTCTTGCATCTTGCAGTGCCTTTTTTTTACTTAAAACAATAAAACCGAATTTACTCCCTTAGATTTTAAGTACAATCAACTTGGCTATTTAAGTAATTTCAACTTAAATAACATTAAACTGACTTAAATGAGTTGAATCTTGTATAAGTTAAAGTAATGGAAAATATGTCGTTATAACTAATTGGTTTATCATTTGCTGTAGCGTAGCAATTCAAATAAGATGATTAGGTTTCTACTGAATTTCTGTATGCATTTAAATCCAAGTTGTGCTAAATAGAGACTTGCAAACTACTTTTCATTAAAAGAATGTCTCATTTGTAATACAGGATCATAACAAGTATTCCAATTACAGAGTTCTCTGGTTAAATTGGCTCCAGTTAAAATGAGAAGGAATTATATGAAGTGCTTTTAGATTCTAATTAAAATATATTTCCATAATTTAAAAGGCTATTCCACCCAAAAAAGGAAATTTGTCATTTACTCACCCTCATGTTGATCCAAACCTGTGTGTAATTCTTTCTTTCTGCTGAAGAATGTTGATAAAACTATTTTGGTTCCTATTGACTTCCATTGTATTTTTGTCCATACAATTGAAGTCAATGGGAACCAAAAATGATTGTCAACATATCTTCTTTTGTGTTCAGCAGGAGGTAAAAAGTTTGGAGCAACATGAGAGAGAGAGTAAATGACAGAGTTTTCATTTTTGGGTGAACTATCCCTTTAACACTTCCCCCTTAACTACAATAGTATAATTATCGCACAGCCTCAATGTAGTTGCCACACTAGAATGTTGCATTGACATTTATCAGTGTCAATGCATCAGCCACATGCATTATTTCTTCCACCCATGCATGATCAGGAAAACAGGCCTGGTTTCACAGACAGGGCTTAGATTACACCAGGATTAGGCCTTGGTTTAATTAGGACATTTAAGAAGCTTTTATAAACATGCCTTAGAAAAACACATTACTGGTGTGAATCTTCAGACAAAACAATGGCACTGACATTTTAAGATATGCCGGTGTAAGTTGCGTTAATTTAAAACAGTTCAAACATGCATTTTAGACTGGGTTTAAGCATTGTCTGTGAAACCGGGGATTAACTATATAACTATTTCCCCCTTCTACTCTCAAGAACCCCCATATTTCTGCAGTCTGTGCTTGTGTTTGCTATTTGGGGAGTGGAACCCATTCCTCAGCATGACCCCCAGGGACCTGCCCACTGTCCCTGCCCAGCTCAGAGCGCTCCTGCTGTGGGAACAGCAGGCCCCTCTCTCCCCTCAGCTTCATCAAGCTGTCCACACTACTGACCACCACCCACTGACCCCTGACCCCTCCGCCCCAGCCTGATACGCTCAAAGCGGCACGCACACAATGGGGCCAGTGACAGCATTTACGCATCTAAAAAATCTTCGCTTTATTTTAATCGGATGAAAGCATTCTTGGACATTTGTAAAACGTCACATTTTGTGGGGCGCCGCCGCGCTTTTCCCATGATTAAATAAGGAACAGACCTTACTAACCCTTACGAGCTAAACATGACTTAAGAGGTGTTCAATAATATTTTTATTCCATTTGCACGGCAGTGATAAATCAAATATTTAGTCCCTTTCCACCCAGTTAGTGATGTCTTTGTGTAAATGCCCGCTCAGAGAGCAGATGGAGTGATAGGAGGACGAGGGCATAGAGCTGCTAAAGCCTTGTGTCGGTCACTCCCTCTCCACCAGGTGCACTGGAGGGGGGGATTCAGATAGAAAAATCCCACTAAAGATCCTTAGGGACGATTCATTTTCACCCCTGCTGCCTGTAAGGAATGGATTCAGCTTACAGGTAGGTAACAAAAGCTGCTAACTGACAGAGCTGAAGGGGAGGTGACTGATTTATGCTCCTTTTCTTTCTCATTCTCGCTATGTAACCCTCAATGACCATGTCAAATTGGAATTTAGAAATATTATTCGACCACAATGAAAATGTGTGTTTTGAGCTCCGGTCTGCTAATTAATTGAGCCATTAAAGACGGCCTGTGTTTAAAATTCACGTTATCATTGCTCATAGGATGAGACGAATATCTGAGGTGAATTACTGGAGCAGACTTTTGTAAACAGAAATCATTGCTTCTCTTTTATTCAAATTTATCCAATTCATCCTCTTCCTGTGCTAATCTGTACTGAAATGTTTATGTTATTTAACGGTTTTATATAAATTCTGTTAAATAATTATCTTTATTATTATATAATTATTAGTGCTGTCAAATTGATTAATCGTGATCAATCGCATGATTAAAAACAAAAGTTTTTGTTTATATAATATATGTGTGATTTATATTATATATATGTGTGTGTGTATACATACACAAACACACACACACATATATATGCATACATGGCGTGTGTACGCACACATATATATATATTATATAAACAAATATGTTACATGTTAATCGATTTGAAAGAACTAATAATTATATAATTATCCTTTGGGATAAATTAGAATTTATATATATATATATATATATATATATATATAAAAATTCATAATTCATTCCTAATCATATATACATATTCAGTCTAATCATATATACATATTCAGTCTGTTTAGTGTAGTGTTTAAAATAAAACATGCATTAATTAATTAGTGGAATTATTAGCAGACGGTATTTGCTTAAATTATTTACGTTTATTAATTTTCTAGTTAGTTTGATATTTATTTGTTTTACAGGGATCACAAACAACAAAATAACTCATTGGAAAAGAATGAAATTTTAGTAGGCACAAAAGGGTGCAAATACAATTGCAATTTATAATAATAATTTTATTATTATTAATTATTATTATTATTATTGGGTGGTCTCATGCTATCCTTTATTTCTATGTAACATTTCTTTTTCTATGTAATGACATTTTTCTATTTGGTTCTTTATCAAAAGAAAAAGCTGAATAGGATTAAAGGCCCAATCAAACATCCTTCCAGATGATTCTGAACCACTGAAGCCACATGTTTGTACTATTAAATCAAACCCATCAGCAGAGATCCTGCCCACTCTCAGCATCTAATGCACTGTTCACTTCTTTCTTTCTTTCTTTCTTTCTTTCTTTCTTTCTTTCTTTCTTTCTTTCTTTCTTTCTTTCTTTCTTTCTTTCTTTCTTTCTTTCTTTCTTTCTTTCTTTCTTTCTTTCTTTCTTTCTTTCTACCACCTTTCTTTCTCCTCCCTGTTTCGTTCATGCTGATGATTTCCAACTGTTCACGCACCATTCTGTTACATCTGCTTCTGCTTTAGTAATTAATAGCTCACTTTCCTCTCCCAGTCAGATTCTCTCTCCCCCCCCCCCCCCCCCACACACACACACACACACACACCTCCGGCCTCTCTCACACACACTCTTCTCTCTCCTGCCTTATCAGACCTGTCAATCATGTCCAGGCTGTTTAAACACACCGCTGCTGCCTCCCCCCTCCTCTTGCTTTCTTTCTCACTTACTCTCTATTTTTCTCCACCGCTTGCTTTCTCTCTGACTTTCTTTCTCTGTCTTTCTCTCTTGCTTGTTGTATGCTCTATCTTTCTTCACTTCTTAGCTGCACCCCTCCTCCTCCTCCTCTTCCTCTGGGTTTATTCATTCACATCTTGTGAGTTTGGACACTCCCCCTCTTCAGTCCCATCCCCCTTGTTTCCAGCTGAACTCCTCCTGTCCAACATCAACGGTTTCAATCAGTCTGCCAGAGGCCTATGGGGACACCAGCCCTGGCTCTCCTGGGCAGCCCAGAAAGGGGCTCTCCTGGGCA